GCATGTGCTGTTGAGAGATGCAAAAGAAAGCTATCCTCGAATAGCTATTATGAACATTGGAGAAAAATGTAAAATCTTTCATACTTTGGTTCCTATGTCTCCATGGATCCCCCAAGCCAAGTTCTGTTATCGTGTTATTAAGCATTTTTGTTTTCCTAGTCTGTGGACCTGTCTCTGCTGGTGATCTGTCTAGTTTACCATCCTGCACAGCATTAAAATCTCCTCCAACTATTATAACACCCTTTGCATTCTCTGCTATAATATTAGCAATTTCTTTGAAGAAATTTTCATCATATTCATTTTGAGCATACAGTCCCTGACAAAAGTCTTGTCGCTTATCCATTATGTAGAAACAAAAGCTTATAACCTGACTTTAAATTAATCGATTGGTTTTAGAAATGTCTCATATGAAAGCTAAAACCCTCCCAAATTATGCTCAATATACTAAAATAAATTTGCTTCACTGAAGAAAGATTGATCATTTAATGAACACAGAAAGGTCAGATTTTGGCAAGACAAAAGTTTTGTCGCCTACAGAAAATTGAACAAATAATTTACTTCAAATACAAAAATATGTTGCATAATGTCAGTGAATTAAGTAGTGGTGCTGTGAGATCCATATTTAATATCTTGTATGACTCCATGAGCTTGAAGGACGCATCCATGCGGTTTGACAATGATTCATACAATTTGTTGATGAAGTCATCAGGAATAGCAAAGAAAGCGTCTTACATGCCTCCCAGAGTTCATCAAGATTATTTGGTTTTGCCTTCCACGCTTCCTCTTTCATTCTACCCCAGACCTGCTCAATGATGTTCATGTCTGGTGACTGGGCTGGCCAGTCCTGGAGCACCTTGATCTTCTTCGCCTTGAGAAACTTTGATGTAGAGATAGAAGTATGTGATGGAGCACCATCCTGCTGCAAAATTTGACCCTTTTATGGTTGGGAAAGTAAGAGGAGCTAATACTTCTTGATATTTTAGGTTATTGATATTTGCCTTCCACCCTGCAAATGTCTCGCACACTCCCATACTGGATGGAACCCCAGACCAGGATTTTTCTTCCACCAAACTTAACTGTTTTCTGGGTGAATCTTGGATCCATGCACTCCAGTAGGTCTCCTGCAATATTTGCAGCGACTGTGATGTAATTCAACCGAGGATTCATCTGAGAAATCCACCTTCTGCCACTTTTCCAGTGTCCATCCTTTTAGCAGGCTGTGGACCTTGGCAAATCCCACACGGTTTTTTAATTGCCTTTTGTTTAGTGCTGGTTTCTGTGCACTGATTCGACCATGGAGGCCATTTCGAGACAGAATTCTACAAACTGTTGTGGTTGACACAGGGACTTGAGGTGACCAGGCCTGGTGGAGTCTGCTGCAGTGGAAAAGGGGCCTTGGATTTTTGAATCAACAAACGGTCCTCCTGAGCAGTTGTCTTGCGGGGTCTGCTGGACCTGGGCTTGTCAAAAACATCTCCAGTCATTTCAGATCTTTTTCTTATTCTTTGTACTTGACGCTGAGACACATTGAAGGTGTCACCACCTCAGCAGTGGATCTGGTCTTCAGCCTCTTGATAATTAACGCTTTGGTCTCAGGGTGGATCTTAGGCATGTTGTCAGAGGTCAAGTTGCAGTTGATGTGAAGGTCTGGTGTGCTGGGGTTCTTTTTATACACAAACACTAATTGACTGATCAGTAACTGATCACAGGTGAGGCTGTAATCTAGGATTGGGTGCATCATATGACAAAGCGACAAGACTTTTGTCTTGCCAAAATCTGACCTTTCTGTGTTCATTAAATGATCAATCTTTCTTCAGTTAAGCAAATTTATTTTAGTATATTGAGCATAATTTGGGAGGGTTTTAGCTTTCATATGAGACATTTCTAAAACCAATCGATTAATTTAAAGTCAGGTTATAAGCTTTTGTTTCTACAAAATGGATAAGCCACAAGACTTTTGTCGGGGACTGTATAAATTCATAATAGATAATTCCTCATCCCCAACCTGTCCAACTACCATCACATATCTCCCCCATTTGTCTTGTATTACACTTTCTTTTGAAAAAATAAGTGATTTGTTAATCAAAATAGCTACTCCTCTTTTCTTTCCAAATGATGCATAGTATATTTGGTTTACCCATTCTCTTTTAAGTTTTTTAAGTTCCAAATCACTCAGATGAGTTTCTTGCATTAGAGCTATGGAGCACTGCATCTTCTTTAACTGGTTGAATTTTTTTTTTCTTTTTATAGGATGATTTAAGCCATGTACATTATATGTTAGAATACTGAGGTTTCTCATGAAAATACCTAGAATTATTAAGGCACATCTTAATTTCTTTCTTATACAAAAGACAATACAACATGTATCTATAATTTCGTGATTGCACCATTAGTATGTTATTCAAAGTACAGATTGCACCCATTAGAACAAAAGTTTTGAACATGAACTTAAACAGACTTCCAAACGTCAAAGTGTAGTGGCAATTGTCTTACAGCAAAACGCTGAGCAAAGGGTTGCCTTCGCCAAAACCAACGTAAAGTAAACATAAACAAACAAAAAAGTCATCCCACTTTCTTCTGAGTAGGAGAGGGACCCCTTAGATTAAACTGTAATGATTACATCGTAATGTAACTAGCCTTAATTAGTTAACAGTTATAAATCAAATAATTCGCACAATTCTTGCCTACTTTGCTACTCAATTCTCAATTCCTTCAGTTATTTGTCACCTCATAGGAGCAATTGCAAATCCGCGGTGGTCACCGTTGCTTCTCTAGCTCCTTGGGTGGCCCAGGTGTTGCGCACTAACTCCTTCTGACAGTTCTCTCTCTCGTCCACTTTAACGTTATTTCCCATCTGCTTGAGGACTGGCGCTGCCTCCATGAGTGTAGAGAACGTCTTAACTCCGGTGTCTATATGAATTTTTAGCTGGGCAGGGAAAGGAGACGTGGCTTTCACTTTCTTCTCTTTGAGCTGTTTAATCACATCCCTCACTTGTTTACGTTTCTTCTGTACAGCGGCAGAGTAGTCATGGTCAAAAAACACTTTCTGGCCCTGGTATAAGACTCCACGGCTTTTCCATGCCTCTTGTAGAATTCGTTCTTTCATTCTGTAATCCAAAAATCGGACAATAATACATCTCGGTGACGCAGTGGCTTTCGGCTTCATGATCAACGATCGGTGTGCCCTCTCTACTCCAAGATCCAGCTCCTCCGGTATTTTCAGTGTAGCGCGGAGCATGTTGGTTATAAAGCGAATCATATCGTTTTTCTCTTCATCTTCTCGTATCCCCTATATGCGTAGGTTATTGCGCCTGGATCTGGATTCGAGATCTTCACACTTGGTGGACAGTGTGGTTTCGCGTTGTAGCATGTAGCGAATAGTTCTGTTATGTGCTGAAGCAGGTCCTCGTTGTCGCTCACTCTCTGTTTCATGTCTGACATTTGCTCTTCAAGCTCCGTTGTCCTTTCAACAACGTCTTTCAGAGCATTTTCTACCCTTGCCAACGTAAATTTAGTATGGTTTGAAACCTCCATATGCTCTTTCCTGAAGTCTTTGAACTCTGCTAGCACCAACGTCACATTGTTTTCGGATTTATCCATGTCCATGGCCGCTTCGTCACTTTGCTCCCGTCTGTCCTCTTTCCTGGTAGATCTTGTCTCCTTTCGTTGGCCAAACATTCTAAACTTTCTTAACAATCCAGTTCTGGGCGGAATATGTGCAGGTTCATTACATTTAGGCTAGTTTTAAGGGTCTCTCTCCAGAGCTCAAAAATCAAGCTGCTTAACCTGTCATGGCGTCACCGGAAGTCATGTTTACTGTTATTAATTGTTATTTATTTATTTGTTTATTGTTATTGTTATTAATGTTTTCATATAAAATATCACTCCCCCCGAACTGCCACCTTATCGTGGTGGGGGAGTTTGTACCCGAATGATCCTAGGAGCTATGTTGCCCGGGGCATTACGCCCCTGGTAGGGTCTCCCATGGCAAATAGATCCTAGGTGACAGGGCAGACTAAGAGCAGTTCACAGCACCCTTCTGAACTTAGAAATATCGAGGACCGTGACGTCGCCCGGTATGGAGCAGCCGGGGCCCCACCCTAGAGCCAGGCCTGGGGTTGGGGCTCAAATGCGAGCGCCTCGTATCACAGCCATGATTTAGCCTTTGTTTTTCACTGAACTGTATCATATTGATTTGAAATATATCGTATTGAAACATATTGAATTGAAAGTGCACTGTATCAAAAGCGTATCGTATCATGGCCTGTGTATCGAGGTATGTATCATATCAACAACCCAGCTCTATTCTTGTGTCAGTCATAATCTTAGCGGCATCTGTTGCTTTATGGTCATTTGTAAATACAGTTTTTATTTTTGCTAAACAAATCATAATTTATGCTCTTTAATGTTGGCAGGGATCAGATTAGTCAAGAACTATGATAGTCCTGTTTTAGTCCTGGTTTAGACCTGATGTAGTCCTGGTGTAGTCCTGGTGTAGTCCTGGTTTAGTCCTGGTTTAGTCCTGGTTTAGTCCTGGTGTAGTCCTGGTTTAGTGCTGGTTTAGTGCTGGTTTAGTCCTGGTTTATTCCTGATGTAGTCCTGGTTTACTCCTGATGTAGTCCTGGTTTACTCCTGATGTAGTCCTGGTTTATTCCTGATGTAGTCCTGGTTTATTACTGGTGTAGTCCTGGTTTATTACTGGTGTAGTCCTGGTTTATTACTGGTGTAGTCCTGGTGTAGTCCTGGTTTGGTCTTAGTTTAGACTTGATGTAGTCCTGATTTAGACATAGTTTAGTCCTGGTTTAGTCTTAGTTTAGACATAGTTTAGATCAGATTGGGCAAAACTAGGGACGCCTGGGACATTTCTTGTATAAAACTGGGACAAATCACGGGTTTTCTACAGAACACTAGGTTATTACAATTAATGCTACAGGTGTTAGCCGAACTCGCAAAACTAGCTTCATCGCAGTGATCAACAAACTAAAGAATATGATCCCTACCTTTTGCTGATACATTTTCCATTGTTTGTAATGTTTATCTTGGAATCCGCGATAAAATAAAGCTCCAGAAGAGTATTTTAGGCGTAATGTTTGTTTCTGTTTTTGTTTTTGGCGGCTCTCCTCTTCTCAACGCGTCAGAACTTCCTCCGCTGCCCAAAACGTCATCACGCACACACAACCCCGGAAGAAAGTTCAGAACGTTCGCAGGGATCACATGGAAGATTTATGTGAGCGCCACTGTTCAGCGCTAAACTGCGGCTCAAGCAGGATTAAAACACGGGATATGAATGAAAACAATGTTATTTAAGTTTTCAGAATCATTCTTCGTAAACTAGCTGTATGTTTAACGTTACGGAAAGCGGAAAACTATGGCGAGAGGAGCGCGTCGTGGAGGTAAGCGTGACACATTCACCTACATTTATGAACCGCTGCTGCACTTTACAAAGACCAACAACTCACTCAGCTTCTTTACACATCCAAGAAAAATGATCGTACGTATATTATGTCTATGTTTATTATCTGGAAATTTAAAATAAAATAACAATGGTCTATACACTACTTATGTTAATTTAATATTGTCTAAAACATTCAGGACACGTGCTTTTTTTCTCTTAATACATCCGTGCATTTATTCCAGTGAGTATAGTTGACCATTAATTGAAATATTGTTGTGAATGAAAAACTAATCATTATTTTGTATTGTAATCAAAGATCAAAAAGTTTATTGTCAATTCTTCATATGGAAAACATAAAGAATCGAAATTGTGTTTCTCACTCCCGCGCGTATAAATAAATAATAAAAGTAAACAGTGCAAAAGAGCAAAAGACATAGTGCACGGCACAAGACAGTGACAGGCACAAGACAGTATCATTTACAACATTTATGGAGTAGGATCATAGATCTATAATAAAATCTTAATATACTTCCACGAGTAGAATATGTTAAAACAGTCTTTAATTATTTCTGGAGATGTTCCTGTCAACTTCATTTATGAAATATTTTGTGGTTATAAGCTTAAGAAATAACTTTAAAATGTTAAGCACTGTTTCTGACATGTAAAATTGTTACTACATCCTGAGATACTACCAATGGTGGAATAAGTACTCAATTTTGTTACTTAAGTAAAAGTATAGATCCCAAAGCAAAAAACAAGATGTAAACAACAAGTGAAAGTATTAAAATTAGTGCTGTCATGCGATTAAAAAAATTTAGAGATTAATTAATTATGATCTGTAATTAATTAATCTAATTAATCTCATTTTAATCTCACCTAAAAATTGCTGAGAAAAGCCTTCAATTTGAGGTATTTTCATTTGAATTCATTATTACATTATTGTGGCAGATCAAAAGACTGAATATAGATTTAAAAAAGTGACTTTATAAAGTCATTTATTGTTTAACAAATCTCTCCAAATTGTCTGTTGAGCCCAAGTCTCCATGAATAAGAAACTGTTTGTTGTAAAGTAGCAAAGACGAGGAAATCTGAACATAATAACTTTTGTCTACTTAAAGACAATAAAAAGTCCAGTCTTTCCTTAACCATATTAAAAATATTATTGATAGAGAAATGCTTTATATATGAGATCACTGGTTTTAGTCCTGGTTTAGACCTGGTTTAGACCTGCTTTAGTCCTAGTTTAGTCCTGGAATGGATTAATCCTGGTTTTCCTGTGTTAGTTCTGGTTAGTCTGTTTAGTGTTTAGTCCTGGTGTTAGTTCTGGTTTAGTTCTGGTTTAGTCCTGGTTTAGTCCTGGTTTAGACCTGGTTTTAGTTCTGGTTTTGTCCTGGTTTAGTCCTGGTTTAGTCCTGGTTTAGACCTGGTTTAGACCTGGTTTTAGTTCTGGTTTTAGTTCTGGTTTAGTTCTGGTTTAGACCTGGTTTAGTCCTGGTTTTAGTCTTGGTGTTAGTTCTGGTTTAGAGGCGCACAGGAGGAAGCGCTGTTTACGCCGCGTACGCGAGAAAACACGATCCACACGCGGCTCACGGGAGGACAGCGATGTCCGCGCAGTGTCTACGGAAGGAAACGTGGTCCGCGCGTTCTCAGGTTAATGACGATGATGAAGGTGTGTGTTTGTGTTTGTGTGTGTGTGTTTGTGTGCGTGTCCCCTCATGTGGCAGGTCATTATAGGACAGTAGTGCAGACATCATGAGCCTATGCAGGTTGTTTTCAGACGATATTATATTTGTTATTTTCTTTTATATTTCACGTTGGGAGAATAATTTCCAAGACACGAATGTGTTTTTACCTGTGCGCTGCTGCCTCTGTTCTACTGGCTCTTCGACCTCGTCCATTGTGCGACTGATGCCGCCAACGTTAACATGACGTTTACATCGCTTTTACTGCGCGTTTTGTGTGGCTTTCCGGCAATGAGTGGAATTACCGAAATTAAAAAATGTATAAATGTGTTTTGTGTGTGTGTGTGTGTGTGTTGTTGTCCCAAAAACACACAACAGGTTTTATAATAAAGAAACTCGCATACAGAAACACTAAAGTTAGAGATTAAAAATGAGATTAACGCGATTAAAAAACATAACGCGCTAAATATGACTGTAATTAATTAATCGCAATTAACGCGATAATTTGACACCCCTAATTAAAATACCCATTTAAAAATGTATGTCAAAAGTAAAAAGTAAAAAAAACAAACTTAAAACTATTTTGCACAGAATTTGAAATCTAATAAAGCTTCAAATGTTGTGACTTTGATAAAGATTTGTGTTGAATATTGTTCAGCAGAAACTACAGAATTATTTTTTTCGTAGCTATTTTTGTTTGCTCCAGCTATGACCTTGATAAACAGTAAACCTTGCGACCTTTTCAGCAGGTCTCACACAATAATAAAAATACTTTTACTTTTCAAAATAAAAGTACATTCAAACATGTAGTCAAGTTCTCTGTCTAATTAAGTGCACATTCTTTGGAGGCTGCCTGTTGCGCTGTAGAGACTCAGTTCTGTTGACCTGTCCACCCTGCGCTCGGTGATGTTTGTCTTTTGGTGAAACACAAAGAAACAAAAGAATCTGAGTCAAACCAGTATCTGTGGTCAGGATTCAGCTCCTCAGAAACGTTTCATTGTGGACAGTGGCTCTCAAACTGTTCTCAACAAGTACAACCAAAGCAAAAATGTAGCTTTCTGAGTACCAGCAGCTCTAAACTAGGTCTATTACAGGATATTTCCAGGTTGACTCTAGGACTATACCAGGTCTAAAAGTGGACTATATCATTGCCACTGTAAGTTCTAAATAGGCCTGTCATGATAACACATTTTGAAGCATGAAATATTTCTACAGAAAACTATAACGATAGAAGATAATACTGAAACTACTTTATGCCACTGACACAATAAAAATTAAGTAGGACAATCCCAGTAAACCATAAAATAGTCAGCATCATTTAAAGGCCCAAGGTGCAACAAATAAATAACCGAATGAACCAATAATTAACCATAGAAATTGCTTATTCTACCCTCTATAGTGTACTCTTGATTTTATTGCAACAAAAACAACAAAAATTTCCTCATTATTCCAAAGAAAATCTACATACGCAGGCTCGTTAGCAGACGTTTGAGGGCCCGGGTCAAGGAGCCTTACATGGCCCCCCTTTAATATAAATTAATAGGAAGAGGGCCAGTTCTGGGCTCTTAAAACCCTCTTAAAAAGTGGATAAAATCAACTAAAATTGACAAACTGAAGAGCTCCAAGTCCCACCTGAAGGAGGGCTATATGGGAAAAAATAAATAACTTTTTTTCAGATGATTGTTTTTCAATTCAAAAATTAAATAAAATGGCTTTGCTGCTTAATGTTTCTAGTGGAGGGTCTGCCACCTGCTTGTCTCAATGGAAATGTTATTATTTTATCTAAAATGTTCCACAGTAAAGATTAAACCTATTTATCACAAGGGAGACACGCAGTTTACAGCACTACACTACATTACAGTTCAGATCTGTGGAGAGTCGCTCCTATTCACAGAAGGATTTTTTACTTTTTAAAAACATTCATAATGAATAAATTATAGGTGGATATGTTTAAAATCATACTATGTAACCAGGGAAAGCAACAACATCTCCAGCAGAAAGGTTGTGGAGTGTACTATATTGATTTTGTGAACATAAAGAAGAAAAACTTTAAATCAACTCTATACTATATCAATACTAAATCAACACAAAAAGTCAATTTTTAATTTCTTCCTTCAAACACAGTCTTTTACTGACAGAGGTTTGGCTGTGGATCTCTCCCTTAAAAAGACCCAAGATGATCATTGACAGTTACAAATGACTGAATCTTTATCTATTCTATTAATTGCACAACCCCAGTTTCATAACATAGAAATTTCAGTTTAAATTCTTGTTTTGTTAAAATTTGAGAAATACTGTATTTTCCGTTAGATTAGGCGCGGTCTTAAGCCTCCAAAAACGACTGCACGACTTATAATCCGGAGCGCCTTTTATATGAATTTCCGCCAGTGTTCCAGTACAACTTCAGTAAACGACAAAGCCGCACCACTTGCAGCATTACGGCTACCGTAGTCAGGAGCATCGCGGAGTAATACGTACTGTGATTACTCATTTTTCCTGTGGACGAGGAAAAGATGAGCGACTGGCTGCGAGAAGTTTACCTTAAGAGACCGGATGACTTTTTCCACTCATCTCCGTCCCTATTGATCTGCGACTCCAGCGCAATAACAGATTGTTGTCCAGACGCAGCCGCGATTCATTTTCGAATTATTTTACCAACAATGGCCAATACAGAGAATGTAACACACGAAGATCAGAGCAAGTATCAGTGTGCGAACATGTGGCTCCAGAGTGAGTCAAAATTGGGGGTGTGTACGTCTGTTGAGGACCTGCACGCACAGTGAGGTCCTGGTGTTCCCCGTGTTCACGTAGGAACCAGCATTTGTTATTTTAGGCTTTAATTAACCAAATAATTTTATGGCAATAGCCTATTCAATTGATACAACTTCAAAAAGTCCCTGCTTTTAGCCTAGTGTGAGAAATACATTTGGACTAGATCCAAACCAAAGTCCTGAACCAGTGGGAGCAGCTCCGGTTCAGGCCGGGCTCAGAGGAGCTGGAGCGGGGAGCCTCGACCTGAGGAAGCGCTTTCCCCGGGAAGAACCAAATGCGCGGAGTACGGACGCTCAGAACAACATATAACAAACCAAACTGGACTCACGCTTCTGTCCGGATGCTGCACCACCTCGGAACCAGCCGCGGTTCTTGAGCGCGGAGGACAGGAGCAGCGCGCCCGGACCTGTAGTCCACAGCGCATTCTCGCTTTTCCCGCACGGAAACAGCGCGCAGACGACGGAACGTACCCACTCGGACTCAGTCCATCAAGCACTGGTCTTGCTCGCCACCGTTTGGAACCAGCACATGTAGGATGGAGCCTCCGGACCATCTGACCAACGCACTTGTAGGACGACAGAAGACCAAGGAACAGACAGCGCTGTCCTGAGGAGCTGCGCGCTACTGTGAGCGCTGTTGGCTGCTGCTGTTACCCGAACTCTGGGCTGATTCGGTGAGTTTGTACAAAGTTCTACATGTTGCTGTTTTATGAGTTCATGATGATAATTTGAGATGAGGACGGCCCATGGTATTAACAGGAACATCGGTGTTGGTAACTGGAGGTATCGCTGTTTTCCCGGGAAACAGAGACACGTCAATCGAACCAGTTTTGGTTCGTTTGTCGGTGTGAACGCGGACCACACTGGAGTGTATTTGCTACATAATAACAATTTTATTGCCTGGTGCGACCAAATAATCGAACTAGCGGTGTGAAAATGCCCTAATGTGTTATTTTTAGTTATAACCAAACAATTATGAGTTATTGTGAATACACTGACAATTTATCGGTCTCAGACAGTTTTTTGTTTTTTACGTGTTACAACGACTGATTTACCTAACTGTTGTGTTTCGTTTAATGCGCCTTATAGTCCGGTGCGGTTTATATGTGAAAAAAGGTCAGGAAAACGACAGTGCGTCTTATAACCTGGAGCGCCTAATCACCCGGAAAATACGGTAGTGTATTTTCCGCACTATTAGGTAGGGCTGGGTATCATTAAAAAGTTGCCGAAGCGATACACACCTCGATACACAGGCCATGATATGATACATATCTCGATACAGTGCGCTTTTGATTTGATATGATATATTTCAAATGGATTCGATATGGTTCAATAAAAAATAAAGGCTAAATCATGGCTGTGATTCTAAAAGTCTTTGTTAAACCACTTCTTGTGCAAAGTTCATATGAAACACAAACATTTTAATCCTCAAAACGGTGTCAAAATGTCAAATGTGACACATAAACGAGTTTCCGTTCACTCCACAAGCAACAAAACTGTAGCTGTAACAAAATAATTTAGTAAAACACACATAAAAATACTCTTGGTAATATATTGATACAGTAGCCCATGATATCGATACTGTATCACCACATTAAATGATAGGATATATCGATTTTCCGATATTTTTGCACACCCCTACTAGGCGCTCTGGATTATAAGGCACACTGTCATTAAATGGTCTATTTTTGAGTTTTTTTCACAAATAAACCACACTGGACTATAAAGGAAACCCAACAGTTGGATGAGTGAGTGGTTTTGTTTGTTTGTGGCGTTCACGGTGACTCTGGAGTTGTTCAGTTGTGGCGTGTAGGGAGGGTGCTGTCTGGGACCAATGGATTGCCGGCGTGTTCGCAGTGACTCAGTTGTTCAGTTGTGTCTAGAAGTGGCACATTGCACTCGTTTTTTCGGTTCGTTCCTCCGTTCTGTTGCTCGTCGGCGTGGAGTGATGAGTGTGGTCGCTGTCTGCTCCGTGTGTGTTTGTGTGTTCTGTGGGTGGTGCGGCTTTGTAGTTTACTGAAGTCGTGCTGGGACACCCGAGTGGATTCGTGTATAGGGTGCTCTGGATTGTGGGGCGCGCAGTCGTTTTTTGGTGGGGTTGGAGGATTAAGAGCGCGCCAGAAAATACGGTAACTTTCCTGGTAGAGGGTTCGTCAGATGCTTTTCTCCGTGTAGATGTCATTGCTCTGCCTGGAATGTTCCACAGTGTGACATTAAACAGGTTTACCTTACATTTATTCAATTACAGGTGGCTTTATAGCTCAAAAATATCTAGAAAAACAGACATTGTGACTGTGAGCGAGGTCGCCTCTCCACAGATGTGACCTGTGACTTGATCATGTTTGGTCTCCAAGAAGATAGAAAGGTTTAATGTCATACTGTGAATCATTCCAAGCAAAGTATTAATAAGATCTCCATGGAGAAAAGGATTTGATGCACAGTGCAGCTTTTAAAGTCAGATTTTGATAGTTTGATTTTAAATGCCATAAACTTGACCTAACTGTGTCCCCAGATACGAGGTAAACATGTTCAAATCAAATACAGCTTTTACTGATAACAATTCTAATGCTGATTTATTCTTAATTATATAAACATTAGATACCAAGGCCAAGTTGTTTATGCTATAATTTGGTGTTCTGGTTTTCATATTTTGTTCCCATACACTGCAGCTCTACAGTAGACATAATATTTGGTCTGTTCTTTAACTTTGACACACTTTTTAACATGTTTATCTCTCGTCAAGGCTGATAACTGACTGATGGACCAGAAAGGGAGATCCACACTTCATTTAATCCCGTGTCCCATTGGTGGAGAAGAGACGCTGACCCCACTCCCTCAAGATGGTCCCCTCGCCTCACAAACTCCTCTTCACCGCTGCAGACTATGCCATCTTTGCTCTGCTCCTGGGCGCCTCTGGCCATAGGAGTGTACTACGCCCTCTCAGGTAAAACTGCGCTTAATTTTTATTCACATTTTTCATTTTTTTAATGTGTCTAGCCATCTGTGTAATCCCTCAGTGGTCCAGGTAGGTTCCATAGTGGTCCATGGGCGTATACCAGTCTATGTGCTCTTATACTTGTTCTGATGCAGCTCAGGATCATTCAGGAAAGGTTTATTTCTGTTTTGTCAAAGGGACTTTTTTTAGTATCGATATTAGGGTGACCATATTTCCGTTTGTGAAAACCCGGACACCTTACTGGGGGTGGGAGGTGGGGCCTTCGATATTGAGCTACTCTCACCTTACAACCTGTGCACATGGCCTCCCACTTGTCCCAACCAGGACGGAGAATTTCTTGTACAAGTCATCGTTAAATGTGCATTTGCTCTTTGGCATGTTGCAGACTGCACAGAGAGCTACGAGAGCTGCTTAAATTAATGGCCCCAATGAAAGGTAATGAAAACCCGGACATTTTTATCACTTTAAAAAAAAAAAACAAAAAAAAAAAACGGACACCCAGGACAGAACGCAAAAAATTGACAATGTCCACGGAAAAACAGATGTTTGGTCACCCTAATTGACACCTAAGCCTGTCCTGAAAATTACCATATCAAAGACAGAATAATAGTTTTTGTGGGTCAGTATTTATCATGAATACAACAGTAGCTCAGTTGACGTTGAACGTTTGTCCACTGATCTGTAGCTTGGTGGTTGGTTTCAGATCCAGCTCTTGACATAAACATCATTGGTTGAGAGGTCTGATCCACTGACCCACAGGTTGGTGATGCGATTTCAAAAGTTTCATAGTGTACCTTTTTAAATCTTTTACTTAAATCCTTAGTTTTTAAAAATATGTATAAAAATGTACAGTCAAATGTAATTAATACAGGTGACTCTTGATCCTGTTGTAATTCTCTGCTTTAGGACCCAAGCATCAAAAACTAAACCTGTAATTTCTCAACTGGAGCAAAAGCTGTTTACCAAAACGCTGTTGATAATAAAGGTAAAAGTCTGATCTCTGCAGGAACAGTAAATGTTACTGTTATTGACCCTAAAATACAAACAAATAAGGTTCAGAGCTGCAGATTTGCCCTAGAATAAAAGCAGGTTATGTTTCAGAAGACATTAATACAGGGAGTGGTACTGTAATAGTAGTAGAAGCAGTAGTAGTGTCCTTGGACCTTACCTTGCCCCTAGTTTCTGCATAAACTAGTGTATGAATGTGTGAGTGGTTCCTTGATGTAAAGCACTTTGAGTTCTTTGAAGGTGGAAAGAGCTGTGTAAAAGTGACCATTTACCATGTGACTATTTTTCTATGTTCTAGACAGGAACTTTGTGTTACATTTATGTATTACAATATGATTTGACGTATAGAGAGTTGAAGAAATCACTTTTATGATTGCTCACTATGTCCAAACTAACCACTAAAGTGTACATTTAGAATATTTTTTCAGTTATAATCCTGTGTAGTAAGTAATTTAGCAAAGGCTCAAATTAGGTAAATCATTAGCAAAAAAGAAGCCGGGTCTAACTGGGGGTAACTTAAATCAAACTGAACAGAACAAAACTAACTCAACCAGACAAAGAACAGGGCTGTTTAAATACATGAGGGCCAACTAAAACTAAACACAAGACGGGGGAATTACACTAAATAATTAACTTAAACTACTAACTTAATCAAAGTAACAAAAAGGCAAATAATTATAATACAGAAAATAATAAGTGACAATAACATGACCTTAAACAAACTAGACAAACTAACTTAGCAAATCTAACTAAATAGTGCTCCCCCCTTTGTTGATTCATGGATGGTCTCTCCCGAGGCTCCGCTGTCTGGCACTCAGACAAAAGAACAAGTGTAAGTAAATAATTCAGACTTCCACTAAAATGTGGGCACCCAATTAGAATATAAGTCTAAATAAAGGAATTAAATTATGTGTGATGTTATTAACTTAATGTAAATGAAATTAAATAAATAAAATAATACTAACACTGTGGAGTGGTGGCAGAGGCATTCACCACATCCTGCTTTAGGGTTATTGTGTCAGTGATATAAATTAGTTTCAATATTATCGTTTATTGTTTAGATTTTTTTTTTTTTTTTTTTTTTTTACCAATGTACTGTATCATACTTAAAAATGTGTTATTGTGACAGGCCTGTTGATGCCTGCTCAAATGAATGTCCAGATTTAGACTTAGACAAAATTTATTGATCCACTAGGGAAATGATTTGGACACAGTAGCTCACACATCACAATATAATATAATAAAGAGAAACAAATATAAATGGTAATAATAAATTCCAAATAGGTGTTGGTGAATAAGAGACTGTTGTCAAATAAGACATAATTATATCACTGTATATGTACAAGTAAATAGAAATAAAGTAATATGAACTAGAAAAGCACTCAGAGAGCGCAGACCTCCGCCAAGCACTACAGTCCCCCTCATATTAATTGTGTTTTCCATAAATATTTGTCTCGTATCTTTCAATTTGGAATATGAAAGAGGATCCCATTGTCCATCCCTGAGTCAAATTTCATGGGGTTTGGTCTATAATTAACCGAGATATTGAGAAACAAAATTTTTGGCCCCATTTACCACAATGTTAACTAAAATTTCAAAGTGATCCAGACCCCCAAAATGAAATCAGTTCTTCCTTTTCACATTTCCAACAAATCCTGAAAATGTCATCAAAATCGGTCCATAACTTTTTGAGTTATGTTGCTAACAGACAAACAAACAAACAGACAAACGCCGGCAAAAACATAACCTCCTTGGCGGAGGTAATTATCTCAGCTTTATGCAAGAGATCGTGAGGAAAAACAGTGCTAAGATGATATGAGGATGTATCTAGTTTCAAAACTATTTTTAGTATCGGTTTTTTAATACTGTTGACCCGGGCAGTCAACAGGGGGGTCAAGGGTGTTATGGGGACCAGATTTGGAAGCTCCACTTATTACATCATTTCTGGCCTATAAACCGCTACTTTACTTTTTCTCACACTTTGAACCCTGTGGCTTATACAACGACACGGCTAATATATGGACGGATTGTTTGTTTATCAGCACAGTGAATGCGTGCACACTCTCCTCATGGAAAAAACACAAAGAAATGCAGACGTTGCAGCTTTAAGTTAAAGGCAATTGATGTGGCTGTTGAAGAAGGAAAGAGAGCTGCAGTACGTGAGCTCGGCATCAGAGAGTCGATGGTGAGATGGCGACAGCAGCATGACAAACTGACTCAAAGCAAAAGATGACAAAAGAAGAGGCAATAAATAGAAAAATAAATAAATAAAAAGATAAATACAGGATAGCCGCAGGGTCTTAAAAGTCTTAAAAAGTCTTAAATTTCATGCTCCTAAATTAAAAGTCTTAAATTCTGTTGTCCAAGGCTTATATTTTTCACAAAGGTCTTAAATTTCATTAGCCTATTTTTTTTTTTTACTCAACTGGGCTGCAGTGCGATGTTAAATGGAGGGAAGAAAAGAAACAACAACGTGAAATCTCATAACATGAATAAACAACTGATTTGGAGTATGCGCAAACAATACATTGGTTTCTGGCGCTGGCGGTGATGAGTAAATAATCAGAGTGGAGGAAGATGTTGGATGGATGATGGGGAAGTGTAGGTTTAATCCACAGTGGCTTTTAGATTCTACATATAGTAGTTGGTTGGTCATTATTAGAATTGGATTTGGTGTTTTCGCCCACGTAATGGGTGCAATGTTGGTCTTAATTTTCATTTAAGTGGTCTTGAAAAGGTCTTTAAAAAGCCTTAAATTTGGGGCAGTCAAACCTGGGGATAACCTGAAATAAATAATAATAAAAAGAGGCAATAAATAATAAAAAGACAATAAATAATAAAAATAGACGGGGCGGCAGTAGCTCAGTTGGTAGAGCATTTGCCCACTGATCTGAAGGTTGGTGGTTCGAATTAGGGGTGGACGATATATCGATATTTTAAATATATCGAGATAGTTTTTAAACTCGATATGAATTCTGACATATCGTATATATCGATATAATGCTTATATTCAATTCTGACTTCGCCGCTTCCGTTGTTTATCTTCTCTCTCGTCACCTTGCTCGTGTCTCCTTCACTCCTCACTGTCGCCGTGAACGCCGAAAGTTGGTGCCAGTGAAAAGCTTCAAGCACCACGAACCTTTTCCACCATTTACAGACAAGAACATCAGCAGCACATCCTCCTATTCCATCGAGTCGCGTCCTTTAGCCCGAAAGAAGCTAAACGAGCTGAGCTGCACGAGAAGTGCACTGTTTATGCAAATGAGCCATGCGCTTAAGTTTCGTTTCTGTAAAATGTAAACGCACGTGCGCAAAACTGCATTAAACACATTATTATCTCAAACGGGCTGATGCGGCTCTAGAGTCGTTATGCTTTATATATTGTAAAGTTTAGCAATGTAAAGTTTATTTATGCAGAAGATTTTAATTAATAATCTGCTGCAGTGTCACTTGTACAATAGTGTTTGGAAATGTTTGATTTGATCTGCAGTGGATTGTGGGATTAAACCTCAGAGCTCCTTACTGCTGGATAATAACATGGATCTATTGAAATAAGGAACATCCTGAGCTTCTTCTGCTAAATGAGCTCATGGTTATGATTATGGTCTGGATAACAGAGTTAATGCAAAGATGAACTTGTGTTGAGTTGTTTTATTTATGAATGAAAAGAAGAAAATATGTATTATTTCTTTTATTTTACAGTTAAATTATTATTTATGTAATTAGGGTTTTTTGTAATCTTAAATGTTCCTATATGAACTGTCGACCTCTTACACTTCAATTAAAAAAAAGGACCTTGTGGAATTTGGCAGATTTGTTTTTGCAGTTTTCAGTTTTAGGGGGTTATTTTTTCTTGAACATATATCGAGATATATATCGTATATCGAGATATAGCAAAATATATCGAGATATATTTTTTGATCCATATCACCCAGCCCTAGTTCGAATCCAGTTCTCGACATAAAACATCACAGGTTGAGCGGTCAGATCCACTGACCCACAGGTTGGCTGATGTGATTCCAGCTCCCACAGATGAATGGCTGCTGTTGTGTCCTTGGGCAAGACACTTAACCCACCTTGCCCACAGTGTCTGCGTACACTAATGGGTGAGTGGTTCCTTGTTGTAAAGCGCTTTGAGTGCCTTGAAGGTGGAAAAGCGCTATAGAAAAATGTGACCATTTAAAAGCAGATGGCCCGAACTTGAAAACGTTCTTGAAGACGTGGACACCTGCAGCTTATAGACAGCTCCGGCCTATATATGTACAATTGTTTTTTTTCATTTTAATATTTAGTTGCTGCAGCTTATGTTCAGTTGCGCTCAGTAGTCTGGAAATTACAGTATTTAATATTAGAAGTGGGGGCATGTGAGTCTTACCCCGGGCCCCCAGATTTCTGTTGACAACTCTGCTTTTGACAATCCTACTCTCCATCTCTCTTTCTAGGAGGTCGTCAGAGAACCACACAGGAGTTTCTACTGGCTGACAGGAGCATGGGGTGCCTGCCCGTGTCCCTGTCTCTTATGGCGTCGTTCCAGTCTGCTGTGGCCATTATCGGGGTGCCCGCTGAGATCTACACCCACGGGACCCAGTACTGGTTCATTGGGTGCGCCTACATTTTGGGACTGATCATTCCAGCCCATGTTTTCATTCCCGTGCTGTACAGACTGAAACTGTCAAGTGCCTATCAGGTATAAGTCTGGTGTTTGCAGAGAGTGGATTTTTAGAATGTGGTGGTGATGTTGTGTGTTTCTCGGATATTCCTACACCTAAAGCTGCATTGTGTAACTTTTCTGGTGGAGGCTCCGTCAAATGCTTTTCTCTATGGAGATGTTAAGGTTTAATGCCATACTTTGAAACATTACAGACAAAACACTTGATGCAGACCAAACCAGACCAACTTACTGTGGATCAGATCTGTGGAGAGGTGACCCCGCTCACAGTCAGAATGTCTGTTTTTCTAGGTATTTTTGAGCTAGGGATGGGCATGATTAGTCAATTAATCGATAATTGATCATTAAGTATTTCGTCGATTACGTTCATTTTTAATCAACAAACCAAACGTAGGTCGCTGTGCATAGGTGACCAAACATTCGTTTTTCCCTGGACATGTCCGTTTTTTTGTTTTTGTTTGTTTGTTCGTTTTTTTTCTTTTTATAAAGTGATGCAGATGTCTGGGTTTTCATTTCCTTTCATTGGGGCCATTAAACTGAGCGGCTGTCGTAGCTCTCTGCAACTCAGCAGGAGCGAGCAGACACAAACAGTCGCTCAGCCTGCAACATGCCGAAGAGCAAATGCACATTTAACGATGACTTGTATAAGAAATTCCCCGCTTTTCGTCTGGGTCCAGACAAGTGTAAGGCCATGTGCACAGTGTACAAAGCAGCACATATGTGTCAGTGTTCAGTGGGGGTGTCAGGGACCTCAAAGCACCAGGACACCGAAAAACATGAAGAAGCTTTGCCAGGTGAGAGTCGCTCAATGTCGATGATGAGGCCCCTCCCCCCCGTACGGTGTCCTGGTTTTGACAAACGCAAATATGGTCACACTAACCTATTTTCCACTGAGTCATGTCCTTTAGTCCGACAGAAGTTGAACTGCATCAGCGACACAAGAGCTGTTTATTTCTTCGCTTTGTTTATGCAAATGAGCCATGCAGTTTTAAGTTTGGTTTCTGTGAGATTTGAGCAAAACTGCACTAGACACATTCTAATGTCAAACGGGCTGATGTGGCTCTAGAGAGATTATGGTTTATATGTTGTAAAGTTGAGTTTATTTATGCAGATTAGTAGTGCAGATAGTAATAATGATGATAATGTTAATATATAAACGTTAACGATTAATCAAAAATCGATCGTTAACTCTCCTGACGATCGATTAAGAAAATTTAATCGAATGCCCATCCCTGCTATAAACCCACCTGTAATTGAATAAATGTAAAGTAGAGCTGTTTAAAGTTATACTGTGGAACATTGTTAGCAGAGCAATGACATCTCCATAGAAACAAGAAGGTGACGGACCCTAATCAAAAAGTTACACCGTGCACCTTTAAATATTCAAATGGAAAATTCACAAATGTTGATTGTTTAAGTCAAAGTGTTGATTCTTTGCAATGACATGAGGACGGGGGTGTTCTACATCTATGTGTATGGTGGAATGTTGAGCAGTTACTATAATGACACAATGAACACATTTGCAAACACTGAAAAAGAAGTTTTAAGATTGCCTGTTTTAGATGTTTGATTTTTAACATTTTTCAGGGTCAAGAAATGCCAAAAATGCAAACCAGAGTTCAAAATAACAGTGTGGCTTTTTAAAATTTTTGTAAATCTAAAACAATTTACTTTGTTATTGTTCTTTGTATTTGTTGAGGCTCCATCAAATGCTTTTCTCCATGGAGATGTTATTGCTTTGTCTGTGGAGAGGTTACCACGCTCACAGTCAGAATGTCTGTGTTTTTAGGTATTTTTGAGCTGTAAAACCACCTGTAATTGAATAAATGTAAAGTAGAGCTGTTTAATGTCACATTGTGGAACATTCCAGGCAGAGCAGTGACATATCTATAGAAACGAGCAGGTAACGGACGCCCAACCAAAAAGTTACACTCTGCACTTTTAATGTTTCTGTTTTGTAAACTTAACGAAAATGTATTTATTCTTTTTTTTTTTTTTACCAACACTGTCTCTTTGTTTTTTCAGTATCTTGAGCTTCGGTTCAGTAAAGCTGTTCGAATTTGTGGGACCCTCACCTTCATCTTTCAGACGGTCAGTGAAATAAATAATATAAAGATGCGCTATGTAACTTTTCTGGTGGAAGGTCCCAGAAACCTTTACTAGTTTCCATGGAGATGTTATTGCCTTGCTTGGAATGTTCGACAATATCGCCTACGGTATTAAAACCTGTCTACCTTCCTGTCACACGCCAGATCTGCAGTGTGGCCTCCCCCCTACTTGTAATAATGCATTGTTTTTCAAGACATTTTTTGCCATCAATGCACCTTTTTAAGTTTAATTTTATTTTGTTAAACATTCCAGACAAACCGTAACATCTTCATGGTGAATAGAAGGTACTGAACCACTGTCAGAAAGTTACTGTATTTTCCGCACTATAGGACGCTCTGGATTATAAGACGCACTGTCATTAAATGGTCTATTTTCAAACTTTTTTCACAAATAAACAACACCGGACGGAAGGAAACCCAACAGTGTGATGGGTGAGTGGTTTTGTTTGTTTGTTCGTTCACGGTGACTCTGGGCTTTGTTCAGTTGTGGCGTGTAGGGAGGGTGCTGTCTGGGACCAACAGATTGTCGGCGTGTTCACAGTGACTCAGTTGTTCAGTTGTGTCTAGAAGTGGCACATTGCACTTACTTTTTCGGTTCGTTCCTCCGTTCCGTTCCTCGTCGGCGTGGAGTGATGAGTGTGTCTGTGGGTGTGTTTGGCTGTGTGGTCTCTGTCTGCTCCGTGTGTGTTTGTGTGTTCTGTGGGTGGTGCGGCTTTGTAGTTTACTGAAGTCGTGCTGGGACACCCGAGTGGATTCATGTATGGGGCGCTCTGGATTATGAGGTGCATGGCCGTTTGGAGGCTGAAGAGCGCGCCCTATAGTGCGGAAAATACGGTACACAGTGCACCTTTTTAAATATATAAACTTATATTTGCTATCGTCTAAGATTTTTAATAATAGTCATTTGTTTTGTCTTCTGTAACAGGTTGTCTACATGGGAGTGTGTGTTTATACTCCTGCTTTTGCACTAAATGCTGGTAAGACTCTAGTTACATTTATTATAATTTTATTTGTAAAGAGTCTGGTTTAAAATATTTGGCCTTTTTCTCATTTCAGTCACTGGGATTAAATTATGGGGAACGGTTCTGGCCACTGGACTGGTCTGCACTTTGTACACTACACTGGTAAGACTCCTGCTCTTCATCTGAAAATATTACTTTTACTAAACATTTATATATCTGATCTCATAACAAACTTATGTCTTATTATAAAAACTTGGAATTGTCGATATTTGGCCACTTTAAACCATAATTTGGACAGTCCATGTTAGATGTTTGGGAAGAAATCTGGGTCAGACCATAGACTGTATATATAAATGGACATTGTTGACTTGGTAACCACCACATGCCAAACAGGAAGTGGTCTCGGAGGTGCTTCCAGCTCCATCGCTCTGCATGATCCTGGTGTTTTTCGTTTCGTTATTTTGTCCATAAATCCATTCCTGTTCTTAATATAGAACTTGGCTCCAAATTCGGCCCTATAACTGCCAGCTTCGTGAGCTTCGTTTGACTGGAGTTGAATGCTGTGGGTGGATGTATAGGAGCTAGGAGAGGGTCAGAGGAGCAAATGGAGCAAAGACGAGGGTCAGAGGATGCATAGGAGATAAGAAGAAGAGAACAGGAGAGGGTCAAAGGATCCAGAGGAGCAGAGGGGACGATCAGATGGAACAAATGGAGCAGAGGCGAGGGTCAGATGGAGGAGAGGAGAGAATCAGAAGAGCAAGGAGAGGATCAGATGGAGCAGAGGAGAGGGTCAGAGGAGCACAAGAAAGGGTCAAAGGAGCAAAGGATGCAGAGGACCAGAGGAGAGGGTGAGAGGAGCACAAGAAAGGGTCAAAGGAGTAAAGGATGGAGGGGAGCAGAGGAGAGGGTCAGATGGAGCAGAGGATTCTCACATGTCTCTTTCTCTGTAGGGCGGTTTGAAGGCGGTGATTTGGACAGACGTGTTCCAGACTTTGGTGATGTTTCTGGGGCAGGTGGCGGTGATCGTGGTGGGGGTGTATCAGACAGGAGGCCCCTCTGAGGTCTGGACCAAGGTCTGGGAGGGAGGACGCATCTCTGGGCTGGAGTGAGTTTCATACAACATCCACAAACTCCCTTTTAGTGCTCAGTTTTAGATATTTATTTGTATTTTATTTATATTTGTTATCCGGGAGTATTTTAATATAATAACATAATTACAATTGATTGTCTTGAAACATCAAACACAAGTTAAGTGACCTGCTTTTAAGACTCTTTAAAAATCTTGCAAGTTCCAATAGTCTAAAAAATATCTCCTCATCCATGCCTTTTGTCTTTGTCCAGTCTGAACCCGGACCCCACGGTGCGCCACACGTTCTGGACTCTGGCAGGAGGGGGCGTCTTCCTCATGTGGGCGCTGTACGGGTCAACCAGTCTCAGGTGCAGAGGTACCTGAGCTCTCGCAGTGAGAAGGATGCGGTCAGGTAAACACGACTACAGCATCTACTTTAGAAATCCATTGATATTTGATATTTGGTGAATGTTTGGTTGAAAGGGCCCATATGACGCTGTTTTCTGACCCATGTTTTAATGTTTCCTTATCACAAACAGACCTGGAGTTGTGTAGGTCTGTTTTTGAGGAGGCAGCAACATTATAACATGATTTAAACTGACAAGAATCTATTTTACATAATATAGGGCCTTTGATAAGTTATGTATGTAAGTATAAGTATATTTTTAAGACCAATATGGATTATTTTTTCCCAAATGTTGTGATCTTGAATAACTCTAAGCCAGGGGTGGGCAAACTACGGCCCGGGGGCTGTATGCGGCCCTTTAAACCTTTTAATCCGGCCCGACAAATTGGAATAAATTACAATAATAAACCTTGATGTTTTATTTGTCATGCATTTCCGGCGTTTCCCAGTAGATGGCATACTATATATACATTGAGGTGTGGCGTATTATGTTGGCCGCAATGCTTTATGGGAAAGTGTTCTTACAGGAGTTATTCGGACCATGAGTGAAGTGGTTGGTGTTCAAGATATAAGGATGCACTGCTTCCATTTAAACTAGGTTGTAATCAAACATACAAAACCTCTAGATTCTGAGTTGTAATTGCCGGTGTAAATAACTTGGTGGATTCCGGTTTTACTGCACTCGCAGGTATATGTTTCTGTATGATTGAGCCTGAACGGCGTGAGCTTAATTCTCGAGCTGTTTAAGCTCATGATATTCGTTCTCTTGTGGTGTGCAGTGAATCAGGTCCATTCGCTTTTATGTGTAGAATCTACGAGGGCGGCATAAAACGGCCACTATTCTCTGCCGGGTCATTTTTGACCCGTAACACCACAAATGTTACTTTTTTTTAATGAGACGTTTACAATTTACTAAAATGCTGAAAATGTATTTTGTTGTGTCTGAGGATTAGATGATGCCTCGTTCCAGTTTAAAAAGTTAATGGCGGTTCCTGCAGACCCACGCCTGAAAATAAAACTAATAAAACACTGACACAATTTAAGGGTAATAATAACACATTCGTTTCCGAGCTCTCAGTAGCGTGTTTACATTGAGAATCAGAACTCTGAATCTCAACGATTGCAGACTTTTCACATGTGAAACATTCCTGGAACCAGTGCAGCTTTATGTCTTGAACACTTCTACCTGACTTATGGTCCAAATACGCCGCCCGAAAGAATACATTCCCATAAAGCATTGCGGCCAACATAATGCACCTCTCCTCAATGTATTTAAAGTGCGTCATCTACTGGGAAACGCCGGAAATGCAGGAAAAATAAAACATTAACAAGGTTTATTATTGTAATTTTTTCAAGTTCGGCGAACTTATAGTATAATTACAGTCATTTATTCAGGTTCGGCGAACTGGGTGACCAAACGTCTGTTCTTCCCCGGACATGTCTGTTTTTTGTGTTCTGTCCTGGACGTCTGGGTTTCTTTTTTAAAGTGATGGAAATGTCCGGGTTTTCTTGATCTATCATTGGGGACATTAGATTAAGCGTCTCTCGTAGCTCTGTAACTCAGAAGGAGCGAGCAGACACAAACAGTCGGTCAGCCTGCAACATGCCGAAGAGAAAATGCACATTTAACAATGAATTGTACAAGAAATTCTCCATTTTCCATCCCGGTCAGGACAAGTGGGAGGCCATGTGTACTATTTGTGAGGTGAGAGTAGCTCAGTGTCGAGGCCCCACCCCTGGTACGGTGTCTGGGTTTTCACAAACAGAAATATGGTCACCCTAATATAATAAAGAGAAAAAAATATAAAAGGTAATAATGAATTCTAAAAGTAGCAAAAATAGCAAGAGACTGGTGTCAAATGAGGCATAATTATATAAATGCATATGTACAAATAAAGAGAAATAATGTAATCTGAATTTATCTCCACTACATACAAGAGTTTGTAAGGAACAACAGTGCACAGGTGATATGATGATTGACAGGACACAGACTGTATATAGAAGTATATATGGTTCCAGATAAGTCCTCACCCTATAGTTCTAATCTGCATACCGGCGCTGACATGTTTTTGAATAATGTTTTCTCCCGTAGGTCGTGTTACATGGTGTTCCCGTCTCTGCAGCTAGCTCTGGCTCTGAGCTGTGTGATGGGTCTCATCATGTTCGCTCGATACTGTGGAGAAGATCACTCAGACCAGCTGCAGTCCACCAAGGCAGATGCGGTCAGTCCCTACAGTGAAGATTTATGAGAACTGAGAACAAGAAATAAACCAGGACTCTGGTTTAGGCAGTATTAAACAAGGACTGAGCCAGGACTGAACCAGGACTGCATTAGGATTAAACCAGGTCTAAACCAGGACTACAGTACGATTAAACCAGGTCTAAACCAGGACTACAGTACGATTAAACCAGGTCTAAACCCAGGTCTAAAACAGGACTCGAATTTAACCAGTCCTCCTTTAATACTGGTTAAACTTGAGCCAGGACTAAACCAGGACTACACAAGGGCTTAACCAGTTTTACAAGGAGGATTAAAACAGGACTGAGTCAGGACTAAACCAGGTCTAAACAGGATGTAATTCCACCCAAACAACGTCTCAAGCAGGTCTAAACGAGGTTTGAAGTTTCTTTGATAGATATGCTGTACCTGTAAACTAAAGTGTGACTAAACAGGACTAAATTTTAACTCAAAACTAAACTAAGACTAAACTTAAAACTAGACCAGATCTAAACCACGTCTAAATCAAGATGACCATTGCAGAACAGGGTGGTTTCTGGGCAATAAATTCCATCAAGCTTGCTTTTTTTGCTTTTAAAACAACGTTGAAAATAAAAATTCACTTGCTCCTAAATCCTTCACAAATAAATTTTTAAAAAGACAGAATATAATGCATTTCTATGCAGCGCTTTGAGGAAGTGGAGATAAGAGATGAGACATAACTGAGGAAGCAGAGTACACACTTTGCATTCGTCAGTTTGAACAGTGACAGATGTAATTCCTGTTTTGTCCTGCAGATGGTGATCTACTTTGTGATGGACATGCTGCAGGGTTTGCCTGGGCTCCCCGGGCTCTTCGTGGCCTGTCTGTTTAGTGCTGCTCTCAGGTACTAATAAAACCAAATAAAACTCATATATGCTGCTTAACGTACTTTCACTTTTCAGATCGAGATAGAGCGAGATACACTACCAGTAAAAGTTTGGACACACTTTTCAATTTCATTCAATGTTTTTTATTTTCTTTGTTTATTACATTTTATTTACATACAGAAGATCTCAGTTGAACTGATATTTGAAAGCTGATGTCGAGGGGTGTGCAGAAATATAAAAAATCAATGAATCGTGTTGTTTAATTTGATGGGCTCCTGTATTGATATATCGCCAAGAATATTTTTTTATTGTATTTTACAAAATTATTTTGTGAAAGAGCTACAGTTGTGCTCTTTGTTTGGAGAAAGGAAACTTGTTTATGCAACACGTGACATTTTCACTGTTTTCAGTGAAAAAATACAGACTTCGATGGATAAGCTTTATTGTCTGTCCCGGAAGGTGACAGAAATGTTTCTTTTGACAAAGCACAACATCCATCCTAAAGACACACAAAAACACATTTAAAACACTTCACAATTAAAAAAAAAACAAAAAAACAGTGGTCTGAGTTCATCTGGTGGAGTTCAGAGAGGCGATGGCATTTGGAATAAAGGATTTTTTTGTATGTTTTTACGGGCCAGAGGGACTTTACCTGATGGTAACAGTGTGAAGGACTTATGGTGGTTTAAGAAAGACTTTTCGAATCTCAGCCAAAATTTAGCCTTTGTTTTTTCACTGAACCATATCGAATAGATTTGAAATGTATCGTATTGAATAGGGATGTAACAATAAACAATATATTGTGATATTGTATTGTCAAAAGTCTCAATAATATCACAATAATATCATGGACTGTCACAATATATCAAATCACAAGTTCCTTTGCATAAATGCATTGCTTTATAGTAGCAATAGCTAATAAACTTCAGGAACTACATATCCCATGATTCATTTGAGCGCAGACAACATGAAGTTATGTTTTTTACTTGAATTCTTGGAATAATCAGAAATAATTCACATCAAAATCTTGTCAGTGTATTTTAAAAGCAGAAACGTGTCCTATCTACAATTATATCAGCCTCTTCAAAATATTGCAATAAATATCATACAGTGATATGCATATCGTAATAATATCGTATCGAGATTTGGATATTGTTACATTCCTAGTATTGAATCGTATTGAATCAACAGTGCACTGTCTGGAAAAATGTATGGTGGTATGTGTCATAGAGGCAGCGTCTAAATGATACGCAGCTCTGCTGATGTCTGATCCAGATCATTTTTCTGTATTGGTATCGGTGCGTTTGTAGTAATAATAATACTCTGGATTTTATAGCAGTGGTCAAGGCACTTAAAGTGCTTTACAGCATTTTTCATTCACTCCACAGTTGTAGGTGGTAAGATGCCACAGCTGCCCTGGGACAGACGCCACAGCTGCCCTGGGACAGACTGACAGAAGTGAGGCTGTCAGTCCGTCCCATCAGCACTCACACACCACTTTCATATGAGGCAATGTGAGTGCAGTGTCTTGCTAAAGGGCACATCAGTGACTATATAGATAACTGAAAACCTGTTTTTTTCTTTTTCTTCAGCACCATCTCTTCTGCCTTTAACTCTTTGGCCACTGTGACGATGGAGGACCTGATCAAGCCCCAGTTTCCTGCTCTGAGTGAGAAGAGAGCCACGCTGCTGTCAAAAGCTCTGGGTCTGTGATCTGTTTATGTCAAATCAGAAAGACAAAATTATGAAAACACAATCTATAAATTACACATGTAAATCTATCTTCACAGCGGCGTTCTATGGTCTGCTGTGTCTGGCCATGGCTTATGTCACTCACCACATGGGAGACTCTGTGCTTCTGGTAAAGATGAGTTTTGATTTCAAGAGTAAGTTGAACCATTTCCCAAATCTGCTTTTTAAAAAATATTTTCTGTTTTTTTAGGTGGCTCTGAAAATCTTTGGGATGGTGGGCGGTCCTATTCTCGGCCTCTTCTGTCTCGGCATGTTCTTCCCATGGGCCAACTCCATAGTACGTACAGTATTAATATCAAAGTAATGTTTTTTCTCTGGGGAAAAGTAGTGCCTGTCTGAACAAGATTACTCTAAGAAAAACATGACAGTCTTTATATTTCCTGTCAGGGCGCTCTGGCAGGTTTAGGTGGGGGCCTGTCTCTCTCCTTCTGGGTGGGCATCGGGAGTATTCTGTCCCAGACCCCAGGACCCAGGGCTGTGTTGTCAGACTGTAGAGCTGGACTGGCCTCAAACTCCTCCTCTGCTGTCGTCACTGTGGCTCTCAGGTACCATTGCCTCGGCACGACTATATAAAATTACTCAATGTTTTAGAACAATATCCATTAAAACTCAATTGCTAATGAACACTTGCACTAGCGCCATGTTTGTGCCCATCTCCGTACCCCAACAGCTGTAGCACACGTGAACCTGTAGCACACGTGAACCTGTAGCACACGTGAACCTGTAGCACACGTGAACCTGTAGCACACGTGAACCTGTAGCACACGTGAACCTGTAGCACACGTGAACCTGCCTGACAGTCTCCGTACCCCCACAGCTGTAAGTGTAAACCTTCCCTCTCTCCGTCCCTCAGACCATCGGGGCTGCAGAGGTTCTATTCTCTGTCCTACATGTGGTACAGCGGCTTCACCTGTGTCTCTGTCATCTTCATCGGACTCATCATCAGCTTCCTCACAGGTCACATGTACAAACTATGATATAAAATAAGGTGTAATATTGTTTTAACAGTTAACAATTTGAATAATCTTTTAAGGAAAGATCTCTCACTTTTAAGGAAATTTGCTAATTTAATTAGTAGTAACTAACTATATATAAAAACATAGTTTAATCTGAATATATATATTTAAATTTCAGGTTCGATGAGGGCGGAGGACTTGACTCCAGGGACTGTTTTTCCACTTTTGGGCAAACTTTTATTTTTTCTTCCTGAGAACATCAAACAGAAGCTCTGCTGTGTGAGGCCTCTGCCACAGACGGTGAGAGAAAAACACACACAGACTGAATATCTGTGTAATCTGCTACAGCCTGATCCTGTCACATCTCAGAAGCTCAGCAGGGCTGGGTCTGTTTAGTTCTTGGAGGGGAGACACTGGGAAAATCAGGTGCCACAGGGGGGCACCAGTCACAAAAAACTGTCATTGTGTCCTTAGGCAAGGCACTTCACCCACATTGTCTAGTATGAAAGTGGTGTGTGTGTAAGTGAGTGATGGTGGTGGTTGGAGGGGCAGATGGTGCAGATTGGCAGCCTCGCTTTCGTCAGTCTTATCACCATTGGATATGGAGTGAATGAATAATGCTCAGTGTCTTTGAGTGTCCAGAAATGCCCTGTATAAAACTGATGCATTATTATTCATCTCTCAGTCCATCGGTTTGAAATCAGTTTGAATAGAAAATACATTTATAAACAAAATACAAATTTACATATTATTATAAAGATATGGGCACTCAACGTTTTATTGTTTGTATGGAAATTAATTTTAACATCCTGATTATGGAGGACATCATAGGGCATAAGGATGCTCTCCACTGGTGCTGTGAGGAGAGAAGCAGTTCTCACACATTCATACATGGGTAAACTGTCTTACTCAGAGACACAACAGCAACTACATTCTTATTTTGGTTTTATATAGGAACATTGCAGACTTTAAGGTGCATTGTGTAACTTTTCTGGTGCAGGGTTCATTACCTGTTTGTTTCTAAGGAGATGTCATTGCTCTGTCTGGAATGTTCCACAGTGTGACATTAAACACCTCTACATTACATTTATTCAGTTACAGGTGGTTTTGCATTAAAAGACATTCTGACTGTGAGCGGAGTCGCCTCTCCACAGATCTGACCTGTAACTTGGTCTGGTTTTGGTCTCCATGAAGATAGAAAGGTTTAATGCCATACTGTGAAACATTCCAGACAAAGCGAGAACATTTTCGTGGAGAAAAGCGTTCAGCGGACCCTTCACCAGACAGTGCAGCTTTAAGATAATAATATGATCTTTGTTTTTCTGCAGAAGGAGGTGAACGGTGTGAACGCTTCAGAGGAGAGACGAACTTTTCTACCTGAAACTCAGACAACACTGACAGAACATGAGACGTCTGTATGAACACAGCTAATGTTAAAGTGCCTGTGACAGGTCAGACCACTCTGTCCACCAAAACATCTTTATTATTTATTATTTAAACGGCCCGCATTACGCTGTTCACTGATCTATGTTATAACGTTCTTTCCTCATCACAAACAGACCTGCAGTTGTGTTTTGTTTCATTCTCACATGTTTAATACACAAACCCTGCACATTTAGTTCTTCTCTCAAACAGAAAACACTCTGTACCACCTTGTGATGTCATGTGGTGATACAGGAAGTGTTGTTAAACTCAGTACATTGTCATTAGAATCATTTGGATCATTTGAGCCCTTGAATTGCCAGACTCTACTGAACTAAAGGTAAAAGGCAGTGGTGGATGAAGAACTCATTTTTTTTACTTGAGTAACTTTCTCCCCTTGTATCTTTACTTTTACTTAAGTAAAAGTAAAGATACAAGGGGAGAAAGTTACTCAAGTAAAAGTATAGAATGAAAAAATCTACTTAAATAAAAGTATGTTTAAAAATGTACTTTAGGAGTAAAATGTAAAAGTATGATGAAATAGATGAAAATGAATTTACCTGATTTTAAGTGATTCAGGTTTTTTTTTCTAACCGCTTTTGTGTATTTGGGTTGCTCAAAATTGGAATGTTAACTCAAAATAAATGTGCTAAACATCTTAAGTCTCCACCACAAAAAAGTATTTTTTTACTTCTCAGTCCAGATCTAATATGTTGTGGAGTAGAAATCTGCTCTCAAATGTAGTGAAGTAAAAGTGAAAAGTATCCACTGTAAAATGTTCTAAAGTAAACTACAGCTACCTCAAGTATGTGTATACTGTGTGTACAAAGTGTTGTACTTTTACTTTTGTACTTCGTTGCCTTCTGCCACTGGTAAAAGGAGCTGTTAACTTGAAAACTACAGCTTCATGACATCACAAGTTGGATCAGAACATTTTGAGCTTTGGAGATGTAGACAGACTAATAATAAAGATTTACTCAAACATGTGAATGAAACAGAACACACCTCCAGGTCTGTTTTTGAGGAGGAAACAACATTCTGACATGGATTAAAGCTCACAAGAGACACGTAACATAGGAGCTTTTAAGATTAGACTAAAAATGTTGGCCTATTTTTAAAATTTAATTTCAGTGAAGTTTACTTTCTTTTTACTTTCTAGTTGGCCAGAGGCAGCAGATGTGACATACGTGGAGGTAATTCCAATTTACCATGTTTATTTAGTTAAATGAAGGCTTAAACTGGCAGAAAAATGGGCTGTGTGTCTAAATTGTCCTGGTATTTTGGATGTAGTTGTAATGCCAGAGGTAGTAGGGATTTTGTTTAAAAATTCATCGCTACTTCCTGTATTTTTGTACTTTTTATTTTTCACAAACTGCCACTTAACTGATGTAAAACTATGATAAAAATTGACCACAGGTATTATCCCTCCAAATCAACATGAAAGCCTGTCATACGCACTTTAAACTGATTTACTAATGATTGGAATGAAGGTGGCCATTTGGAATTCACAGAGAAGAATTTACATACTTGAACATTTGAAAGATGAATAAATTATGTGAACAAGGACAACTGAATGCACTTAACTGGCCCCAAAGCGCTCACTTACTCACGTGACAATCTCAAGGAATGCTAAATATGTTTGTAACTTAACTGAATGTGATTAGATCTATGAAAGAATGTTTATCTGAAAAGGCATTGTTGCATTTGGGCGTATGTCTGACTTTACCAAAAACAAGAGATAATAAAAAAGTTTAAAGCGCCCATATTATACTGTTTTCTGATCTATGTTCTAATGTTGTTTCCTCATCACAAATAGATCTGGAGTTGATGTAGTAATACAGGAAGTGTTTTTAAACTCCATGCACCTTCACTCACGTAGTCATTTGCATAATTTTAGCTCTGGACTTTCCAATCTTTACTGAACTAAAGGTAAAAGGAGCTGTTGAAAACTACTGGTTCATGACATCACACGGTGGAACAGAGCATTTTGAGCTTTGGAGATGTAGACAAAGTAAAGATAAAGGATTATACAGTGAGGAAAATAAGTATTTGAACACCCTGCTATTTTGCAAGTTCTCCCACTTAGAAATCATGGAGGGTCTGAAATTTTCATCGCAGGTGCATGTCCACTGTGAGAGACATAATCTAAAAAAAAAATCCAGAAATCACAATGTATGATTTTTTTTTTAACTATTTATTTGTATGATACAGCTGCAAATAAGTATTTGAACACCTGAGAAAATCAATGTTCTTATTTGGTACAGGAGCCTTTGTTTGCAATTACAGAGGTCAAATGTTTCCTTTAGTTTTTCAGCAGGTTTGCACACACTGCAGGAGCGATTTTGGCCCACTCCTCCACACAGATCTTCTCTAGATCAGTCAGGTTTCTGGGCTGTCGCTGAGAAACATGGAGTTTGAGCTCCCTCCAAAGATTTTCTGTTGGGTTTAGGTCTGGAGACTGGCAGGCCACGGCAGAACCTTGATGTGCTTCTTACAGAGCCACTCCTTGGTTCTCCTGGCTGTGTGCTTCAGGTCATTGTCATGTTGGAAGACCCAGCCTCGACCCATCTTCAATGCTCCAACTGAGGGAAGGAGGTTGTTCCCCAAAATCTCGCAATACATGGCCCCGGTCATCCTCTCCTTAATTCAGTGCAGTGGCCTTGTCCCATGTGCAGAAAAACATCCCCAAAGCATGAGACTACCACCCCCCTGCTTCACAGGAGGGATGGTGTTCTTGGGATGGTCCTCATCATTCTTCTTCCTCCAAACACGGTTAGGGGAATTATGACCAAAAAGTTCTATTTTGGTCTCTGACCACATGACTCCTCTGGATCATCCAAATGGTCATTGGCAAACTTAAGACGGGCCTTGACGTGTGCTGGTTTACGCAGGGGAACCTTCCGTGCCGTGCATGATTTCAAACCATGAGGTCTTAGTGTATTACCAACAGTAACCTTGGAAACTGTGGTCCCAGCTCTTTTCAGGTCATTGACCAGCTCCTCCCGTGTAGTTCTTTGTTGATTCCTCACCTTTCTTAGGATCATTGAGACCTCACAAGGTGAGATCTTGCATGGAGCCCCAGTCCGAGAAAGTTTGACATGTTTAGCTTCTTCCATTTTCTACTGATTGCTCCAACAGTGGACCTTTTTTCACCAAGCTGCTTGGCAATTTCCCCATAGCCCTTTCCAACCTTGTGGAGGTGGACAGTTTTGTCCCTGGTGTCTTTGGACGGCTCTTTGGTCTTGGCCATGTTAGTAGTTGGAGTCTTACTGATTGTATTTGGTGGACGGGTGTCTTTATGCAGCGAACGACCTCAAACAGGTCCATCTGCTTTAGGATAATAAATGGGGTGGAGGTGGACTTTTTAAAAGCGGACTAACAGGTCTTTGAGGGTCAGAATTCTAGCTGATAGACAGGTGTTCAAATGCTTATTTGCAGCTGTATCATACAAATAAATAGTTAAAAAATCATACATTGTGATTTATGTGATTTCTGTGATTCCTAAGTGGGAGAACTTGCAAAATTGCAGGGTGTTCAAATACTTATTTTCCTCACTGTACATATGTGTGAATGAAACAAAACACAACTCCAGGTCTGTGTTTGAGGAGGGAACAACATTATAACATGACTTAAAGCTCACAACAGTCAGTTTTGTGTAATATAGGAGCTTTAAAAACAAACCAAAAAGATATAAAAAGGTAAATACTAGAGCCCGATCGATATAGCATTTGGCTGAAACATATCGGCAATCGGCCTAAATCTTGCCGATATGGGCCGATATTTCACGTGGGCATGTTATATGTCGTTATAAATCTTAGACTCTCTACATTATGTTCATTTAATCCAGTTTACAGACAGATAAATGTCCTAATATGTGGCTCCGCATCAGTATTTAACTGCGGAGTCATTTGTCTGTGTGTGTCCGTACTGTCCCTGAACACACCACAGAGTGACGTCACTCACGTGTGTTTGTTTACACTCACACACACAGATCCAAACACTGAGATTATTTTCTTTTTACGGACAATCGGTTTGAGTCTGAATTAAAAGGACATTTATTAGTGCAGACTTGTGATGTGAGGAGGAGCCTGTGTGAGCGGTGAGTGTTGGAAATATCGGCGACTATATCGGCTATCGGCAGCTCCAACTCCCAGTTTATCGGTATCATATCGGCCACAACAAAAATCTATATCAGTCAGGCTCTAGTAAATACTAAAATAAAAATTAACAGCAAGAGAAATGACAAAGGACAGAGATGGGCAATGTCACAGTTTTTGATATTGATACGATACTAAATACTTTGGGGGAAGGGGGTGTTTTTGATACTCGATACTCAATGCTTGATACTGGTCTATTCTTAAGGGTGATGGGATTTAGTTAAATTAAAGATATACATGTATATATGTATACAAAAGGCTTCAAACTGGCTCTGAATGACAAAGTATTGTGAAGAAATGGGCTCAGATTGACGCCCAACTTAAAGGTGCATTGTGTAACTTTTCTGGTGGAGAGTCCGTTAAATGCTTTTCTCCATGGAGACGTTATTGGCTTTGGCTGAAATGTAATGTTACAGTTACGGGTGAAGATCTGTGGAGCGGCGACCCTGCTCACAGTCAGAATGCCTCTTTTTCTTTGCATTTTTTTGTCTAAAACCACCTGTAATTGAATAAAGTTACACAGTGCACCTTTAAGATTTGTATATGCTAATGAGTCTAGATGGTGCAAATGTTGGTATTGATACTACTATGCATGAGTCAGTATTTATGTATTGATACTCACATAATGATTCTCTCATCCATACAAACAAAAATGGGCATTAAATGTGCTTTGTGTAACTCCATGACCTGATTTTCTCCATGGAGATGTTTTTGCTTTGTCAGAAATGTTTCACAGTGTGGCTTTTAACCTTTCTATCATCATGGAGAGAAAGTTTCAGGTCAGATCTGTGGAGAGGCGACTCCACTCACAGTTAGAATGTTTGTTTTTCTCTGTATTTTTGAGTGACAAATTCACCTGTAATTCAGTAAATGTAAGGAAGAGCTGTTTAAAGTCATAGTGTGGAACATTCTTAGCAGAGCAATAAGATAAAAGGGACAAGCCTCCAACCAAAAAGTTAATTAATGGACCTTTAAGATTAGAATGAAAAAATAGTGACTTATTTTACGTTTCCTTTCAGACAGACCTCAAACTGTTGATACTGAAAAGTCAATTACCGTATTTTTCAGACTATAAGTCGCACCGGAGTAGAAGTCACACCAGCCAAAAAATGCGTTATGAAGAAGAAAAAACATATATAAGTTGCACTGAACTATTAAGTCACACTTTTTGGGTAAATGTATTTAGTAAAATCATAGATCAGGAACCGACATTTCATCTTGACAGGCAAGTTATAGTAAACACAATAGAACAACAGGCCGAACAGGCGTTAATATGTGAACGTAACATATGAACAGTTATTCAGATAATTATAGCATAAACAACATAAGATAAGTTTACCAAACTCATGATCTCACTCCAAATCACTAAATCCATTGAATACTTCATCCTCGGTGTCACTTCTGCACGACCTGTGGAGATAAACCACAGATCCATGAGGTAAACAGAGCGCCGCTTCCTCTTCTGTGTCGCTGTCGTCAGACTCAGCATCAGTTCCAGTTAGAATTATTCGGGCCTTTCTGAATCTCAACAGGATGGTTTTGATTGTCACTGAAGCTCAGGCTTTGTCGATTCATCCAGTGACTTCCAGGAAAGTTACATGCTGCACTCTCCCGGTTGCCGTGAAGCTGTGTTCTCTATCCCTGCTTTCTGTCAGTCCCTCACAAATTTTTCTCTCACTTCAAACTTTTTTTCTGCTGCTCGATTACCGTTTTCGGCTGAATATTTCATTATTTGCAGCGTGACAGCAGCTATTTCTACAGGAGGCATGCGCAGTAGAGTACGAATTAACAGTGGTACAGGAGTAATAGTAGAACTAGATACTGACACACGAGACTAGAGCCTCTCGTGGCTGTTAGTCTGAAAATTTTAAGCTCACCTTTTATTATTTTACTCATTGTGGGGAAAAAATACATTTATAAAGATATTTTGTATTTCTGTATTTTTTGTTTCTTTTTAAAATCGAACCACACATCACAAAACCCAAAATATTCCAGTATGTTTAAGGGAATGAGGCTGATACAAACACTGACTGGAAACCCCCAGCTTTATTTCCCTGTAATACACTTGAATATTTTATAGACAGAACTTATCACAGACACAAACGGTCAGTTTTATTGCAGTTACCATGAGGCAATTTGCATGTTGATATTTCCTTGTGGAAAATATGGAAATGATGCTAAACACCACAGAAATATAGGAGTTGTGTTAAGGTACTTTAATTGTGCAGTTTTACTTATTTTAACACATTTTCTCATAAACCTGAATGATTTAATTTATTTCGAGACGTGTGTAACTGCTTTCAATTCTTCTATTTGTAATTCTGCAGAGTGAGAGATGGAAAACTGTGGGTGAAATGCACAAAATTCTATCCCATTTGCAAAATTTGGAAGTTCATATTCAAATTAAAGATGCACTGTGTAATTTTTCTGGTGGAGGGTTCGACACCTGCTTGTCTCCATGGAGTTTATTTGGTTGTTGATTTGCCAGGAACGTTTGGCTTTTTTTTTTTTTTTTTTTTATCTAGCATTTCTTATCTCTATTTTTATTGCTCTGAAATACCTTGAAAAACATGCATTCTTACTTCGAGTACGGTCTCCTCTACGCAGATCTGACCTGTAAATTGGCCTGGTGCTTTGTGGTACTTGCTCATCACCATAGATACTGATACTTTGTAGTGATATCACCCTTAGGTTAGCGAAAAACTCTAATAAAAAGATGAAAAACCAGCACATTTTCAGGAGTCTGTGGTCAGTGCGAGTGTTCGTGATCATGTTTAGGAGTTTGTGACTAATTTTAGTTTTCCACGCTTCCTTCTCCTTGAATCCTCCATTCTTGAGCTGTCAATAAAATGTGTCTTTAAGTAACAGAGGTGGCACTACTATTTGGCAAAAGTAGGGCAGCAGTCTAGGGCCCCCGAACCTGGAGGGGCCCCCAAACAATTGCCCTCAGGCCGACACCTCAGAACAATGTGATTTTCTGTCAATATGACGTTAAATGAGAATAGTTTACTTTGAAATGATAATAATAAGAAAAATAATAATAATCATATGTAATGGAGGTAAACAATAATATAATTTTACCGGCAAAATAAATAAAACTACTTTCAGTTCTGGTTTTCTAGTAGTTTCCAATCCACCATAATTCAAATAAATAGAGTTGCGTGTGTCTCAAGAATAATGGGGAAAAACAAAAACAAAAAAAGCATTATAGTGAGGGCCCCTAACTCAAGTTCACCTAGGGCCCCCAAATTGCAAATTCTGCCACTGTTACATGATGTCCCAAAGAAAACCACAGAATGAAGGAGTGAACCTGAGAGAGGCTTCAGGAGGAAACACCAGAGAAAAGAATCGGACTTAATTGGTGTCAGTGAGGAGTTTAGATCCTCGCTCCTCTCCGTGTCTCCTCACCCATCTCCGGCAAAATCAAGAAGGAAGCGAGGAAAGAAATGAGCCGCGGCCTGAGAAAGTTGCGCTGCGTTCCAGTCGCTCTTGGAGGTCAGATGTCGAATCTCAGCTGTTTTACAAAGGCACGGAAACACATGTTTGTTCAAAAATAGTTCATGTCATTTTGGGGGTATTTGAGAACTCCTTTATCATGTGACTAAATATCATGAGCTAGTTTGATTGGTTTAACGAGAAAATAAAGGGCTATGACAACCGTAACATCCAAACCATACGAGAAACGCAGAACGGCGTAGCAGTTATTTTTCTCAGTTTCACACTCTGGAGAGTTGAGGTGTTTTGCCTTTGTAGGGCAGTCAGCTGTCAAGTCGGAAAAACACTGAGCAGTTTACAGTAAATTACAGTAAAGATTCAATACGTAATACAAACTTGACCTGACACAGCGACATGGATCCTTGCGAGTTTGTATCATGAGAATCCATGTTCGCGCGTTGCAGGATTAAGGTTTGTGGGGAAGCCAGAGGTGAGGTGAGGTCAGTGGGAGGGGCCAGGAGGTGGTGGGAGGGGACAGGAGGTGGTGGGAGGGGACAGGAGGTGGTGGTGGAGAAGCTCAGAGGGGTGGGCGGGGGCCAGGTTGCAGAGGGACTTGTACACGATGGTGTGGAGCTTGAGTTGGGCGCGCTGAGGGACGGGGAGCCAGTAGAGGTCTGAGTTCACCGGAGGATGTGTAAGTGAGCCTAAACAAACATGGAAAATCCGACCTCCACGGACGACCTGAACGCACCATTCTTTTAAAGCACGATTTAGCTCAGGGGTGTCCACATTTTTTTTCATCAAGGGCCACATATCTAAACACAGACAGAACAGAGGGCCGATTGAGGGCCGTAGACTGGTGCTGAATACAGTGAAAAATTGAAATATGCACACGTTTAACACGTTAGAATGAGTCATCAGTCTTTAGTCATGCTAAGATTCTTAAAATCACACACTATATATTAAGTATTAGATTTATTAAAGTAGATTTTCAAAAAAACTTGCAGTAAAAAGTTCATTTTTAAATGATGCAAGGTAATTTGGGCCAATTCACCTGGAAGCCTGTGGGCCAACAAAAATGTGTCTGAGGGCCGCATTTAGCCCACGGGCCATAGTTTGGAGATGCCTGACTTGGCTCACCTGTTGTACTTCCAGCTAAATCATTTTCTCGTCAGATTGTATTAAAACAAAACTCAGATTCACGTCTACTAGAGCTTCAGACGGTGTAGTGCTTTCAGTTAGCATCGCACGCCCAGGGAATGTTCAGCTGCAAAGTGTCAATAGGTGATTTTAATGCCATACTGTGTAACATTTTGGGCTACAACATCTCTGTGAAAACAAGCAAGTGACAACTCCACCAGGAAATTAAATAATAAAAAAAATAAATAAATGCTTTTTAGAAAATGTTCTCAACTGAAGCAGTTTTAACGTTTGTGTTTTCAGAGGGATATAGAAAAAGACTAAATAAGTTGTAACATTTCTCTAATTTGTGTGTCGTCATTGTTAACAGATGTTTTTTTTATATTGTTTTTTTTTTTTTTAAATAAAACATTTAAAGTACATTTATGTTTATTGTGATTTAATAATCATTTTTAATTGCTATTGTTTTTTAATGAGGAGTACATGCAGGAGTCTAACCCACAACCTCCAATATTGCTCCTGTTGTTGACTGAATGAAATGACATTGTTTAATTTATTCAATGGGGGTGTGCAAAAATATTGAAATATCAATATATCGTATCATTTAATGTGATGATACAGTATTGATATGGTGGGCTGCTGTATCAATGTATCACCAAGAGTATTTTTTGTGTATTTTACTCAATTATTTTGTTACAGCTTGTAGTGGACCAAACAGAAAGGCAAAGACAAGGTATAAAAATAAGTTTAAATTTAATCAAATCAAAAAAGATGTAATTTAACAAAGACTCAAATTAGGCAAATTTTCAACACAAAAAGCCGGGTCCAACTGGGGGAACTGAAATCAAACTGAACAGAACAAAACTAACCCAAGCAGACAAAGAACAGGGCTGTTTAAATACATGAGGACCAACTAAAACTAAACACAAGACGGGGGAATTACACTAAATCATTAACTAAAACTACTAACTTAATCAAAGTAACAAAAAGGCAAATCATTATAATACAGAAAATAATAAGTGATAATAACGTGACCTTAAAGCAACTTAAACTATTTTAATAAAACTTAATAGTGCTCCCTCCCCCCCTTGTTGAGTCACTTTGGTCTCTCCCAAGGGTCCTCCGTCCCGTTCTCAAAAAAACAAAAAGAACAATTCGAAGTAAATCAGACTAATATGAACTAAAATGTGTGCACTCAAATTAGAATATAAGTCTAAATAAAAAGAATTAAAGTATGTGTAATGTAATTAACTTAATGTAAATTAAATCAAATAATACTGACACTATGATGTAGTGCAGGGGTGTCAAACACATTTTGGTCCGGGGGCCGTGTCCAACCTACTGTGATCCTAAAGGGGCTGGATCAGAAAACTCATATAAACCCCAAAAATAACAATAAGTTCAAATATTTTTGCAGGGAAATGCAAATCTATTACAGAAATATTTTTTTAATTGATGAACTTTCTTTTACAAAATATTATAATATTATGAACAATCTGAAACTTTAAGAAAAATGCAATTTCAACACAATGTTTTAACATGAACTTACTTACGTATGCAAATGGAATAAGTCAATTTTTCTTGGAAAATCCTGCACTTGGCTCCACTTTTCTCATGTTGGACATTTTTCTGATGAGGGTGTCACGGTCAACAGTCAAAACGATCGTCCTTTAAGAGCGTTTGGAAAGAGACAAGTCTTCATTTGTGCTGCTCTGGTGGGAGGGGCCACGTACAGAGACGCTGCTGTGATAAACACCACAGAAAATGAACAAGATTTTAATAGAAAATATAATTTAAATATTTTAGTAGAAAATCAGCCGAGGGCCAGAGGTCTTGGAGGGCCGGATCTGGCCCCCGGGCCTTATGTTTGACACCTGTGATGTAGTGGCAGAGGCATCCACCACACAGCTCCAGTTTTGTTGTTTGTTCAGAGGAAGGAAACTCGTTTATGCGACACATTTGACATTTTGTTTTGATGATTTAAATGTTTGTGTTTCATATGAACTTTGCACATGACGTGATTTAACAAAGACTTTTAGTGTCACAGCCATGATTTAACCTTTATTTTTATTGAACTGTATAGAATGTATTTGAAATATATCATATCGAATCAAAAGCTCAACTGTATCGAGTTATGTATCTTATAGTGGCCGATGTATCGAGGTATGTATCGTATCAGCAGCTTCTTAATGATTCCAGTCCTATTTATTTATCAGTGACTGCAGATGGAAACAGCGGTTTAGCTCTAATCCAGTGAGGAACGTCTCTGTATATGAGTTTAAAGTTGCACTATGTAACTTCTGTATTTGTTCACTAGGCTCTATTCACGCTGACCTCACAAGCCAGGAAGACGTTTGGACACATGCGATGGCACCGGGCTTGACCGACTGTGATCAAACCCACTGAAGTAAATGTGATCAGTGGTAAAATGAAGACTGCAGATGTATGTGCTGTTTGGAATCATCTGGAATTTGACTCTCCAGCCTTTTTCCTCCGGTGAACGACCTTTACAAAACAACAATTCCAGAGAGCTACTTATTTTAGTTTAGCAGTCCCAGGAAATAGTAGACATTAGACCCATGGCAAGATTTAGAGGAGGTACAGTTAGATAAAATATAAAACAAACCGTTATTTATGAGTGCACAGAGTGACCAGATTTTTAAAATAAAATATTGGGACATTCCTGGTTTGTGGTGGTTGGTAATAATAAAATTGTGAAACAAGTGTAATTAAGGAAGATAGTTTTGCACTTTGCACTAATGTGAGTCTCATTTTCTTTGTGTTTTTGTCATTTTTAAGCAGCTTTTCTGTATTTTACCTAAACAAATGACAGTTTATGCCTCTGTTTGCTGTTGCCAGGGATCAGATTGCTCAAAAATAGGGACAAGTGGGCCACTGCTTTTATAAAACTGGGACAAATCACTGGTTTTGGATTATCTGGGTATCATTAATAAGTTACCGATACGATACATATCTCGATACAGTGAGGTTTCAATTTGATACAATATATATATCAAATTGTTCAATAAAAAAATAAATTCTAAATCGTGGCTGTGATTCTAAAAGTCTTTGTTAAATCACTTCTTGTGCAAAGTATCTTACGAAACACAAACAATTTAATCATCAAAACTGAGAAAATGTCAAATGTGTCGCATAAACAAGTTTCCTTCCTCAAAACAAGCAACAAAACTGTAGCTGTAACAAAATAATTGAGTAAAATATACCAAAAAATACTCTTAGCAATATACTGATACAACAGCCCACCTTAGCAATACTGCATGAGTACATAAAACGATACGATATTTTGATATTTTTGCACAGATCTATTTTGGATAAATAAGCTGGGACAGTGGACACGGAGCACAAAACTCTGACTGTCCCGGGTAAATAAGGACGTCTGATCACACTATGAGTGCAGGCATCAAAATGATAGATTTATATATTAGAATAGGCATTTATTTCATCAAATTTGAGTTATTCGGGACAATACTTGTAATTCAGAAATCCCTTGGAGCTTCTGATAGCTCTATATCATGTCTTACCAGAAGTCATTTTAAAATTGTCCACTTTTGCATGTTTTGCACGCCACAAAATAGCAACTTCCTTATTATTCAAACTTGCTAAACCATAAAAATGGTCCTCGCCAAGAGCACCCTTTGTTCTTCTGACCATAAACACTGAAATGGCGTCATGGATTTGTAGTTTTGACTGTCAAATTATTAGTGGGAAAACAGCGTCTCTTTTGCATCTAACAGTGAAGTGTGTCTGGTGTAATCTAGTCTCACGTCATTTGGTTTGAGGTGTGTTTAGTCTAATGTTGAACACAGCAAGGGTTTGTGTCCAGTGAAGCTGTAAAAAAGGGAAAACGGAGCAGGTAAGAGATCTGCAATAATAATTTTATTTACATTTGAGAGTTCATGTCTCGTTTAGTTAATATTGTTTGCAATGATAGTAGGTCTCTGGGTTTGGGTGTGTATACTCAACCTGTCAAAAGTTTGGACTCACTTTTTCATTTGTGTTTCTTCTCCACAATGATTTAGACCAGGGGTGAGAATTCTTTTTCCCATGGGGCCACATGATAAACAGAAAATATTGTGGAGGCCAAAATGTTTAACTCAATTCTGCAGAATATTAATTGTATTTCTTTATAAAAAGCAGTAAATAACATTGTTTAGATGAGCTGCTCAGACTGGGAAGAGTTTATGTTTGACTAAGCAAAGAAAAAGTGAGGCTGCCTTACACAAAATGGCATTTTAAAAAACACCTAAAATAAAAGCAATGCAGCTTTAGTCCATGCATCAGGTTAAATTATAAAATCTGTTTATTTTGTAATTCCAAATGAGCTTATGTGCCATATGTGTCCCCAGAGCTGGGGAGAATCATTTGCCCAAACTTTTGAAACATTTTTGAAAATTAATCAAGTAAACCTCCATGAGAAGTTTCATAAAATTCTCTTGATGTCTGCTGGGTCCACCAAGCCTCTGAAGTATAGTGTCTGCAGAAGCCCTAAATCTGAGCAGAAAAATCAGTTCTTTAATAACATCAAAAATAAGTAATTTAGTCCTAAAGTTTTTATATTAATATAAACATGAACATTGCGGATCATTTGGTACCAGTTTTCTGTCTCTATCATCATTAGTTTCTGAGATATGGCAGAAGTGTGATTGTCCACATCTGTTGTAGACTCACTGAACACACTCAAACTCAAAACAACTGAAAACTTGACAAAACATTTTTTTAAATTAAATAAATAAATAGCCTTTTCCTTTGCTTTGAATCCTACTTGCACAGCTGTAAAGTGAAAACCATTTCAGGAGACGTTGTCAAGAAGCTTGGTGAGAGAAGGCCAAGGGTTCTATTTATTTATTTTCTACATAATTCCATATATATATATATATATATATATATATATATATATATATATATATATATATATATATATATATATGTTTCATATTGAGGTTTTCTGTGTGTAAAATGTAGAAAATATTAGTAGCAGCATAAAGAAAAAACACTGAAGAAGATGTGTCCAAACCTTTGACTGTCAGTGCGTTCTGTCATATTTTAATACGTCCTGTCTCCAATCGACCAAGCAAAAATGATGATAATGTTAAGGTAATTAGAGCAAATTCAATTAATTATAGCTAATTCAAAAATGTGAAGCTTTTTAAAATAAATCTGATTGTATTAGCTTCAGTTTAATGCACGACCAAGTTTACATTGACCAAAAGTAATTTTACTACAATTCTGCTGTCAGAACTTAAAGGGTATATGGCACATTACGCTGTTTTCTGATCTGATGTTTGATGTTATAATGTTTCCTCATCACAAACATACCTGGAGTTTTTTAAAGCGCTTTTCACTGAAACAAGGACAGGACAGACAAAAGAGTGATGAGGAGCGCTCATGTGTGGGAGATAAACGTGTGTTTTGAGCAGTTTTTTAAAGGAGTTCAATAAGTCTGAGTTTCTGGCTGTGGTAAAGGCTCGGTCCCCCAAGGTCCCGTGCTTTGAGTTGACTGCGGGAGTGAGGAGTTAGAGTCGGCCGATTGGAGGCGGCGGGAGAGATGGTGGGTCTGGACGAGGTCTGTGAAGTGTGGAGGGGTCTGGTTATGGAGAGGTCTGGTTATGGTGGGGTCTGGTTATGGAGAGGTCTGGTTATGGTGGGGTCTGGTTATGGTGGGGTCTGGTTATGGAGAGGTCTGGTTATGGTGGGGTCTGGTTATGGTGGGGTCTGGTTATGGTGGGGTCTGGTTATGGAGAGGTCTGGTTATCGAGGGGTCTGGTTATCGAGGGGTCTGGTTATGGAGAGGTCTGGTTATGGAGAGGTCTGGTTATGGTGGGGTCTGGTTGTGGAGAGGTCTGGTTATGGTGGGGTCTGGTTGTGGAGAGGTCTGGTTATCGAGGGGTCTGGTTATCGAGGGGTCTGGTTATGGAGAGGTCTGGTTATGGTGGGGTCTGGTTATGGTGGGGTCTGGTTATGGTGGGGTCTGGTTGTGGAGAGGTCTGGTTATGGAGAGGTCTGGTTATGGTGGGGTCTGGTTGTGGAGAGGTCTGGTTATGGTGGGGTCTGGTTGTGGAGAGGTCTGGTTATCGAGGGGTCTGGTTATCGGGGGTCTGGTTATGGAGAGGTCTGGTTATGGAGAGGTCTGGTTATGGTGGGGTCTGGTTATGGTGGGGTCTGGTTATGGTGGGGTCTGGTTGTGGAGAGGTCTGGTTATGGTGGGGTCTGGTTGTGGAGAGGTCTGGTTATGGTGGGGTCTGGTTGTGGAGAGGTCTGGTTGTGGAGAGGTCTGGTTATGGTGGGGTCTGGTTGTGGAGAGGTCTGGTTATCGAGGGGTCTGGTTATCGAGGGGTCTGGTTATGGAGAGGTCTGGTTATGGAGAGGTCTGGTTATGGTGGGGTCTGGTTATGGTGGGGTCTGGTTATGGTGGGGTCTGGTTGTGGAGAGGTCTGGTTATGGTGGGGTCTGGTTATGGAGGTCTGGTAGGTCTGGTTGTGGAGAGGTCTGGTTGTGGTGGGTCTGGTTGTGGAGAGGTCTGGTTATGGTGGGTCTGGTTGTGGAGAGGTCTGGTTATGGTGGGGTCTGGTTGTGGAGAGGTCTGGTTATGGTGGGGTCTGGTTGTGGAGAGGTCTGGTTATGGTGGGGTCTGGTTGTGGAGAGGTCTGGTTATGGTGGGGTCTGGTTGTGGAGAGGTCTGGTTATCGAGGGGTCTGGTTATCGAGGGGTCTGGTTATGGAGAGGTCTGGTTATGGAGAGGTCTGGTTATGGTGGGGTCTGGTTATGGTGGGGTCTGGTTATGGTGGGGTCTGGTTGTGGAGAGGTCTGGTTATGGTGGGGTCTGGTTATGGAGAGGTCTGGTTATGGAGAGGTCTGGTTGTGGAGAGGTCTGGTTGTGGTGGGGTCTGGTTGTGGAGAGGTCTGGTTATGGTGGGTCTGGTTGTGGAGAGGTCTGGTTATGGAGAGGTCTGGTTGTGGAGAGGTCTGGTTGTGGTGGGGTCTGGTTGTGAGAGGTCTGGTTATGGTGGGGTCTGGTTGTGGAGAGGTCTGGTTATGGTGGGGTCTGGTTGTGGAGAGGTCTGGTTATGGTGGGGTCTGGTTGTGGAGAGGTCTGGTTACGGAGGGGTCTGGTTGTGGAGAGGTCTGGTTATGGTGGGGTCTGGTTGTGGAGAGGTCTGGTTATCGAGGGGTCTGGTTATCGAGGGGTCTGGTTATGGAGAGGTCTGGTTATGGAGAGGTCTGGTTATGGTGGGGTCTGGTTATGGTGGGGTCTGGTTATGGTGGGGTCTGGTTGTGGAGAGGTCTGGTTATGGTGGGGTCTGGTTATGGAGAGGTCTGGTTATGGAGAGGGTCTGGTTGTGGTGGGGTCTGGTTGTGGAGAGGTCTGGTTATGGTGGGGTCTGGTTGTGGAGAGGTCTGGTTATGGTGGGGTCTGGTTGTGGAGAGGTCTGGTTATGGTGGGGTCTGGTTGTGGAGAGGTCTGGTTATGGTGGGGTCTGGTTGTGGAGAGGTCTGGTTATGGTGGGGTCTGGTTGTGGAGAGGTCTGGTTATCGGAGGGGTCTGGTTATCGAGGGGTCTGGTTATGGAGAGGTCTGGTTATGGAGAGGTCTGGTTATGGTGGGGTCTGGTTATGGTGGGGTCTGGTTATGGTGGGGTCTGGTTGTGGAGAGGTCTGGTTATGGTGGGGTCTGGTTATGGAGAGGTCTGGTTATGGAGAGGTCTGGTTGTGGAGAGGTCTGGTTGTGGTGGGGTCTGGTTGTGGAGAGGTCTGGTTATGGTGGGGTCTGGTTGTGGAGAGGTCTGGTTATGGTGGGTCTGGTTGTGGAGAGGTCTGGTTATGGTGGGGTCTGGTTGTGGAGAGGTCTGGTTATGGTGGGGTCTGGTTGTGGAGAGGTCTGGTTATGGTGGGGTCTGGTTGTGAGAGGGTCTGGTTATGTGGGGTCTGGTTGTGGAGAGGTCTGGTTATGGTGGGGTCTGGTTGTGGAGAGTCTGGTTGTGGAGGGGTCTGGTTGTGGAGAGGTCTGGTTGTGGTGGGGTCTGGTTGTGGAGAGGTCTGGTTATGGTGGGGTCTGGTTGTGGAGAGGTCTGGTTATGGTGGGGTCTGGTTGTGGAGAGGTCTGGTTATGGTGGGGTCTGGTTGTGGAGAGGTCTGGTTATGGTGGGGTCTGGTTGTGGAGAGGTCTGGTTATGGTGGGGTCTGGTTGTGGAGAGGTCTGGTTATGGTGGGGTCTGGTTGTGGAGAGGTCTGTCGGTGACCAGGAGGATCTTGAAGTTGATACGGTGTTGGATGGGGAACCAGTGGAGCTTTTGCAGAACGGGTGTGATATGGTCTCGTGGTTTCATAGTTTTTGAAGGTCTGTCCATAGAGGAGTTGTGTTTTGTTTTGCTCTGGAATTGTCTCTACTGAACTAAAGGTAAAAGGAGCTGTTCACTTAAACTTAGACAAACTTTATTGATCCACAAGCCTAAAGCACTATTCACACGGGATTAGTGTTACCTGTGGACTTTCTGTGATTTGTGACAATTGCGGATGATGCCTGAGATCTTAATCCCGTGCAAAAGTGCCATGCCTGTAATTTGTAAATATTCTGCTGCACATGACCTTCTATATTTGGCCAAACACAGACGTCCGGTGATAACATTAGTCCTGTGCCAATCTGCATCTCAGTGTTTGTTGTTGTAATTGTGCCTTTTCTATTTCTTTCTTTTCTTTTCACGTTCTTTTCTCTTTCAATCTCGGTATCAGTGTCAGTATGGACTTCGCTTATCCCATGTGAATGCGCTGCAAGTAACACAGAGGTGTGGCGGTAATTTGTAAATGACCAGACGTCCCCAGGTTGTACTTATCCTGTGCGAGTAGGACTTAAATTGACATTAACAGCTCCTTTTACCTTTAGTTCAGTAGAGATTGACAATTCCAGGGCAAAATAAAAACAAAACACAACTCCTCTACAGACCTCTCGCCACTGACCTTCAAAAAAAACAACTTGAAAACTGAACTTGAATACTACCACTATATGACATCCCGAGGTGGAACAGAGCATTTTGAGCTTTGAGATGTAGATGGACTAATAAAGAGTTACTCAAACATGTGTGAATGAAACAAAACACAACTCCAGGTCTGTTTGTGAGGAGGGAACAATATTCTAACATGACTTAAATCTCAAAGGGTCCATTTTGCGTAACAGGATTTTTAATCTCTGTATCTCTCTGAACAGGATGTGGGTGCTCCTTTTCTTTTGTGTTCTGGGACTCTGCCTGACACAGGTCAGTGCCTTAAAACAAAACATAATTTAACTTTATTTTAATATTTCACATTTTTAAACTAAAATCACTTTGTTTTTTTCACAGGTTCATGGAGTAGGTAAGGTGTCCGTCTGCTGCATGGGCTGGATAAAGAATGAGGATATTGTTTTGTGTTAAAGATGCACTACGTAACTTTTCTGATGAAGGGTCTGCTAACTGTTTGTCTCCATGGAGATGTTATTGGTTTGCCTGAAATTTTCCACAGTATAGCTTTAAGGCCAGACACTGCAGATGAATAGGAAAAATGTAGATATCAATTTGAAACTTCTTCTGTGGTTTAGTCACATAAATGTAAGAAAAAAAACAAAACATGTTTTTATCATGTAATGTTTTCATATAAAAAATAAGGCATTTTATGGCCATACCAGTTTGTCAATCAATCAATCAATCAATCAAACTTTATTTGTATAGCACTTTTCATACATTTGAAATGTAGCACAAAGTGCTTCACATGCAACAGAAACATTTTTAATACATTAATTAACACCCCCCCCCCCCCCCCCCCCCCCCCCCCATACCACAATTTAAACAGAAACATAAAAACTAATAAACATAAAGCTCTTAAAAGTTATAGTAAAAATTAAAAGTGTATAGCTAAGACCAGATGGAGACAAAATAAAATAGTAATGATAATTTAATTTAAAACTACCATAATAATAACAATAATAATGATAATTTAAGTTAAAACAGGTAAAAGTTTCAGTTAAAAGCTAAATTAAAAAGATATGTTTTAAGTTTACTTTTAAAAATATGAACACTCGCAGCGGACCTCAGATCCTCAGGTCGACTGTTCCACAGACGGGGGCCGTAAAAGCTAAAAGATGCCTCACCGTGAGTTTTAGTTTGAACTCTTGGGACAGCTAAAAGGAGACTACCTGAGGACCTGAGAGTCCGAGAGGCTCATATGATAAAAGCAGATCAGATAAATAAATAGGACTAAGACCATTAAGAGCTTTATAACCAATAAAAGAACTTTAAAATCTATCCTGAAGCTCACAGGAGCCAGTGCAGAGACTTCAGTACTGGGGTGATGTGCTCTCTCTTCCTGGTCCTCGTCAGCAGTCGGGCTGCAGAGTTTTGGAGGAGCTGCAATGGAGCTGTAGATTTCTTTGGAAGACCAGAAAGGAGAGCATTACAGTAATCAACGCGATTTGTAATAAAAGCATGTATTAAAGTCTCTGCACTGGCTTGAGAAAGAAAAGGTCTGACTCTGGCAATATTTTTTAGATGATAAAAACCAGATTTAGTGATGGACCTGATGTGTGGCTCAAAGCTAAGCTCACTGTCAAGAATAACTCCTAAACATTTCACCCTCTCACAGGGGTTCAGTGAGTAGGTTTGGAGCTTAGCTTTGAGCCTCTCTCTCTGAGCTTCAGGACCAATAATTAAAACCTCAGTTTTGCCCTGGTTGAGCTGGAGGAAGTTTGCTGCCATCCAAGACTTAATATCTAAAATGCAGTTAAAAAGGGCATCGATCGGGCTCAGGTCACCAGGAGACACGGCTATGTAGAGCTGGTATCATCAGCGTAGCTATGAAAGTTAACACCGTGTCTCCTGATGACCTGTCCTAGTGGCAGCATGTAAAGGTTAAAAAGGGTTGGACCTAAAATTGAGCCTTGGGGAACACCATACTCCATTTTACATTTTGCGGAGGAGTGCTCCCCAAGACTAACATAAAATCCCTGTTTGTTAAAAATGATTTGAACCAGTTAAAAACAGACCCAGAGAGGCCGAGTGTATAGTGTAATCTATCTAATAAAATACAGTGGTCTACAGTGTCAAATGCTGCCGTGAGATCCAACAGCACCAGGACTGACAGGTTTTTCTTGTCTAAGTTGGATCTTATATCATTAAGAATCTTTAATGATGCAGTCTCTGTGCTATGCTGAACTCTAAAACCAGATTGATAAATTTCAAAAATATTGTTAGAAATCATAAAATCACTAACCTGGTTAAAAACAATTTTTTCTAAAATTTTGCTTAAAAACGGCAGATTTGACACAGGTCTGTAATTACTGAGCAGGGAGGAGTCCAAGTTATCCTTTTTAAGCAGAGGTTTGACCATGGCAGTTTTAAGTGCTGTAGGAAAAACCCCTGTCTGCAGCGAAAAATTTACAATGTTAAGAACTTCTTGGGCTAAAAAAATTAAAAACTGATTTAAAAAGCGATGTAGGAATAGGATCTAAAAAACAGGTGGCTGGTTTTAATTGTAAAATAATTTTGTTAAGAGTCGTAGCATCAACCAGGGCAAAACTATCAAGTGTGTTTGATAAAACCAAAGGACTTGTATTACAGACAATGCCTGGTTGGATCTGTTGCAGGTCAGCTCTAATCGACTGAATTTTAGGATCAGATTTTAGGATCTGATGTGATCAGGTCCTGATCACATCAGATCTCAGAAGCTCAGCAGGACCGAGCCTGGTCAGAGACACTGGGAAAATCAGGGGCCACAGGAGGTGCCAGTCACAAAAACTGTTGTTGTGTTGACACAATATAATTGTTACTGTGAGTGCAGTCTCCTCTCCACAGATCTGACTTGAAATTTGGAGATACATATAAACTGGACGTGGAACATTCAGCAAAGAAATAATATCTCCATGGAAACAAGCACATGCCAGATGACTTGGTTTAGTCCTGGTCTAGTCCTGGTCTAGTCCTGGTCTAGTCCTGGTCTAGTCCTGGTCTAGACCTGGTTTAGGCCTGGTGTAGTCCACGTAGTCCTAATTGTGTTTTATTATATAGTTTGTGTTTAATCCATTTAGTCCTTGTTCAAACAGGATCATCCTGGTTGCTGGTGACATGTTTAAAGTCTCTGCCATCTGCTTGTTGTCATGGATATGTTATTGCTTTTCATGAAATATTACACAGTATGGCATTAAGCTTATCTGTCTTACCTTTTTTTGTCTTGGAGATAATATTATATAGAGGAACATTCCAAGGAGAGCAATAACATCTCCATGGAGACAAGTTCCATAGTGTGTCTTTGCAGCCTTTATTTTCTGCAGTGGTGCTTCATATAAAATATAAAATACTGGTTTAAACTTGTATTAAAAGGTCCATATGACACAATATTCTGATTTATGTTCTAATGTAGTTTCTTCATCACAAACAGACCTGGACTTGTACATTTAGACGGAGTTCTTCTCTCAAACAGAAAACACTCTGTTCCACCTTGTGATGTCATGTACAGGAAATGCTCCACTTTTTTTTCTTTTTTTTTAATTCCACACACCTTCACTTGAAATATTTGGATAATTTCAGACTTGGAATTGCCAATAGCTGTTAACTTGAAAACTACCACTTCATGACATCACAAAGTGGAACAGAGCCTCAAAATGCTCTGTTCTTTGGAGATGTAGACAGACTAATAATAAAGAGTTAATGAAATGAAACACAAGTCCAGGTGAGTTTATGAGGGGTAACAACATTACAGGTCCATTTTTCATAATAAAGACCTTGAACATGTCTTTTAATTTTTCAGATTCGTTGTTACATACAAACTCCACTCAGATGCACTACATGACTCTGGTCATTGACGAAAAAGCCTTCAACAACGTCTCTGAGAATCTTCTGCACCAAGATTATTTCTTTGACAGTTTCACCCTCAACTCTCTGAATCATACTACAGGTACAAGGATGTTTAAGTGCGTGTGACAGGTGTGACGATTCTCTCAGTTTGACTTTATTTGGTGGGATAATAACTGTGGTAAATATAAATGATAGTTGTACACAAATCAAGAAGCAGTTTGTGAGGAAAAGTTTAAAAGTATATTTAAAACTACAAGAGAGTTCTGTTTTAGAGAATCCCACATTGAGTGTGTGTACATGCACATCAGTATCCCGGTTATGATCGGGTTTTTTTTGAGTATCCCGGTTTCTTCTTGGTGCATATATACACAGTACCCCGGTTATGGCAGTATCCCAGTTATTAGAAACCAGGTTACTGAGTGTGTATACATGCACATCAGTATCCTGGTTATTAGCCATATCCCGGTTATGTCAGTATTCGGGATACTGCGTTTACATGTACACTGAGAAACCGGGATACTTATATTCGCGTTGTAAGATTACGGATGTAACTCTTCCCTCTTACTAGCCCAGGAAAGCCGTAGCACCCGAGGGGTCAACAAAAACGAAGAAAAGAAAATAAGTTCTTCACCTTTTTTAAATTTCCACCCCATGAGCAGATCTGACAGCATGTCCCCATGACAGACAACAGTCAACAACACCGTGACAAAAAATTCCCCTTATGTAGCTTGACCTAACCCACTAAGCCCCAGACAGGTAAATGTGAACTTTTAAAAATTACTAAAATTACTAAATGATTATACTATTACTAAATGATTATACTATTATGATTATACTATTATGATTATACTATTTACAACTATTTACATTTCATAAACTAATATTGCACTTTGTTACATCAGGATTATCAGTTTTAAAATATTATTTCATGTATTAAATAGATAGTTAAAACTATTTCTGCAGTTAAACCTCCCCTCCCCCAGCAGCACTTGGCACAGTCCAAATCAGGGTAATGGGGTGCACCTGGCCTGCACTGATAAGGACACGCCTCCAAATCAGTGCCTCCACCAATCACCTCAAAGGAAAGGAAAAAAGGAGTGAAACAGGGAAAATTAACATGAAATCAAATGAATATAAGTGAAAACATGAAGGTGTACACCTGATGAGTGAGGGTGTGGTCTATAGCTCCTCACATGTATATACATGATCAAATGGAGTATCCCTGTTTCTTGACATAATCTTACAAATGCACATGCACGAAAATTATATACTTTGTAAACCGTTGAAAATACAAAGAAACTATGAGACCACTGTGGCTTTTTAAAATCTGCATTTTATAATCAATTTATGGCTCATCCACGTCATTATGAGCTACAGAAGACAGGAGAGGCTGTGGATTCTTGGTACATCGATACCTTTAAATATCCTGGGTCTGTCTTTGCCTCCAACCCGGACCAGGGACCTGTGGATGAAGGTACAGAGCCGGGAGTGGTGGGAGAAAGTTGTCCTCATGATGTTCACTGACAGCGAATGGAGGGAGAACTTCAGATTGAGTCGAGCATCCTTCCAACCGACTTTGTGTTTTTTGGTAGACCCCTTTATGCGACCGGCACAAACACCTGTCCACACACCAGTTCCACTATCAATGCGAGTGGCTATAGGCAAGTTTCATTGTTGACAAAAGCGTGCGTTGCATGCTGGGAATTATTTTGGTCGGCGGCAATAAACACTAATTCAACATGATGGACAGAGCGAGAAAGCACGTAAAGGGTATTGATCCCGGTTATTTATCCACTCTAACGGCAGAGGACCCAAGACCATTTGACCAGAAATTGGTCATAAGCATCGATGGACGACAAATCACCCTTTTCAACCCCGACAAAAGGTGGACCAAACCAAATTTCTGGTCAGAATCACCAACTACCTGGACAAATATTCACTTTGGTGATATCCACAATGACTTGGTGGAAACTCCTGGGCCATTCACAGCAGAAAAGATGAAAACCTCCAAGAGTCTCGATGTGTTGTTGAACTTGTTGGAGTCCACGGTTTGTTAGGATCTTCTACGTTTGCTCTGCGAATGTTTGAATGTCATTTAATTCACCGTTAGTGGTTCTTTTCACTCAGAATATGAAAAAGACATTTTCCTTCTTCCGTGCTTCTATTTGTGCATCTGATAATGCAGCAGGAATTTACCATTATCGGGGAGAAATATTAAGAATATTTAAGTCTTTGATGACTAAAATTAGGGGTGTCAAATTATCATGTTAATTGCGATTAATTAATTACAGTCATATTTAGCGCGTTATGTTTTTTAATCACGTTAATCTCATTTTTAATCTCTAACTTTACTGTTTCTGAATGCGAGTTGCTTTATTATAAAATTTTATGTGTTGTTGGGACAACAACAGACACACAAAAAAACACATTTATAATTTTTTTTTATTTCGGTAATTCCACTCATTGCCGGAAACCCACACAGAACACACGCAGTCGCACAATGGACGAGGTGGAAGAGCCAGTAGAACAGAGCAGCAGTGCACAGGGAAAAACACATTCGTGTCTTGGAAATTCTTCTCCCGACGAGAAATATAAAAGAAAATAACAAATATAAAATCACCTCCAACTTAAATGTTACTGGTGAAAACAACCTGCATAGACTCATGATGTCTGCACTACTGTCCTATACACACACACACACAAACACACACACACACACACACACACACACACACACACACACACACACACACACACACACACACACACAAACACACACACACACACACACACACACACACACACACACACACACACACACACACACACACACACACACACACACACACACACACACACACACACACACACACACACACACACACACACACACACAAACACACAACACAACACACACACACACACACACACACACACACACACACACACACACACACAACACACACACACACACACACACACACACACACACACACACACACAACACACACACACACACACACAAACACACACACACACACACACACACACACACACACACACACACACACACACACACACACACACACACACACACACACACACACACACACACACACACACACACACACACACACACAAACACACACAAACACACACAAACACAAACACACACCTTCATCATCGTCATTAACCTGAGAACGCACGGACCAAGTTTTCTTCCGTAGTTACTTCTTGCAACCGCGCTTCCTCCTGTGCACCTCTAAACCAGAACTAACACCAAGACTAAAACCGGGACTAACCCAGTCCAGGACTAAACCAGGACTAAACCAGGACTAAACCAGAACTAAAACCAGAACTAAAACCAGGTCTAAACCAGGTCTAAACCAGGACTAAACCAGGACTAAAACCAGTGATCTCATATATAAAGCATTTCTCTATCAATAATATGTTTAATATGGTTAAGGAAAGACTGGACTTTTTATTGTCTTTAAGTAGACAAAAGTTATTATGTTCAGATTTCCTCGTCTTTGCTACTTTACAGCAAACAGTTTCTTATTCATGGAGACTTGGGCTCAACAGACAATTTGAAGAGAACAAACAAGAACAACATTTGCAGGATGTGGTTGTTACATTCATGTAGTTTTAAAAGCATGACAATATCAAGTAATCCAAAGTATTCAAATTACATTACTCACTTTAAGTAATTAAATGGATTAAATTACAAACTACATTTTGGGGTATGTAATCTGTAATCTGTAGGGGAATACATTTTAAAAGTAACCTTCCCAACACTGCAGATTAGTAATAGTAACAATAATGATGATACTGTGGAATGTAAGTGACTGCATCTGTAATATTACAATTACAATAATGTAATAATGAATTTAAATGAAAATACCTCAAATTGAAGGCTTTTCTCAGCAATTTTTTAGGTGAGATTAAAAAGAGATTAATTAGATTAATTAATTACAGATCATAATTAATTAATCTCTCAATTTTTTTAATTGCATAACAGCACTAGCTAAAATACAAAATTCAGTTTCTTCATTGCTCCAGAAGTAGCTTCTTCTTCGAACTTGACGCCGCCATGTTTGTTTATCTTTTGGATGCATGCGCACTCAGCTTTATGTAGCAGTAACCGGGATACTGCGTATACATGCCACAGTATCCCGGTTACTATCGGAATATACCAGATGATGGCATCACACTGAGAGAATTCTGTCCAAAAGTTCAGCACAGTTTACATAAGAAACACATTTTTCTGACACTTTAAACATGATTTTAACAAAATAAAGCTGTTTTCATGTATTTTTATTTGTCAAATTATAATCTCTGTGTACTTTAGAGGAATTTTGATGTCATGAAGTAAAATTTAAAACTTAATAAAATGGTCAAACTGTGGGGAAAATGTTAAGCCTTTTAAAAATCTTGAATATAATGATCTGAACTCTGAATGTTTTTGTGAAACAAGTAGTCCGACCTGTCATAGGGGCTTTAACATGGAGGATAGTGGTTTTACAGAAGGACGGTTCTGGGTACAATTCTCAGATTTTTCTGATACTTCATCCACGCATGTTTGAGTAATTTAGCAATCTCTCCCGGGTCCTGTTTGAATCTTCCTTGTAGTTAGCAGCATGAGTATTTATAAAGGCTCCGCGCACAAACTCCCACACGATAAATCTCCATAAATACACAGAAACATGATATAAAAATACACAGCAACAAACCTGTTTGTTCTGTTAGTTTACTTACTGTGTTTTTTAGACTATGAGTCGCTCCGGAGTATAAGTCGCACCAGCCAAAAAATGCATAATGAAAAAGAAAAAAAAACATACAAGTCGTACTTTTTGAGGGAAATTTATTTTATACAATCAGAGACCAGGAACCGACATTTCATCTTGAAAGTCAAGTTCTAGTAACAACAATAGAATAAAGAAGAACAGACTGTTGTTCAGATAAACTATAACATAAACAACAGAACATAAGTTTACCAAACTCTCCATCTCACTCCAAATCACTAAATCCATTGAATCCACTGAATTCTGAATTCACTGAGCAACTCTGCTCAGATTCAGTTGTCACTTTCCAGGAAAGTTGCATGCTGCACTCGCTCGGTTCCCGTGAAGCTGTGTTCTCCATCCCCGCTTTCTGTCAGTCCCTCACAAGTTTCTCGCTCGGTCCAAACTTTGTTTCTGCTGCTCGATTACCGTTTTCTGCTGCATATTTCACTACTTCCAGCAGGACAGAGGCTTTTTCTGCAGGAGAAATGCGCAGAAAACTGATACACAAGCCTAGAGCCTTTTGCGGCTGTCAGTCTGAAAATTTTTACATATAAGTCGCAGGAAACTATGAAAAAAAAGTGTGACTTATAGTCCGAAAAATACAATACATTGTTTTTCAAGCTTTTACTTTTTGTTATGTTTATAATTTAGCAAAACTTAAATTAAACTAAATTGCACAGTAGTTATGATTAGACGAACACCTTTAAGTATAAACTTAACAAAAAATGTGTTTCTTGCTTGTAAATTGTCTCCGCATTTTGGTTGGACATTGCTTGTTGATTACGTAGGCAAAAGGATTCTGTTTACAACTCGCTGCTACCTCTTGTACCTTCTCAACTTTTCCCCACAAATCGCCTCTGAACTCATGTAAAACTCTAAATACTGACCACAGGTACTGACCCCCAAACCACATAATAATTAGAAAAACATAAACCTCGTCATACGCACTTTAAAACCACTGTTAAGCATCAACTACTGTATATCCCCTTAGATTTGAAATGTTCACTTTTCATTGTGATACATGTTTAGCCACATCGTCCGGCCTTAATCTGTAAATAGTTAACCCCCAAACAGGAAGTGAGCGTGGCAGCGGTTCCAGTGTTCTGTCAAAATGGACTGCCTGTCGAAATAAGCGACCTTACATTTTTCCGTTTACAGTTGTATAGATCTAATAAAGCCAAACCCCAACCTCCCCAGTTTTACAACATTTTTTTTTTTGGATTAGAGATGCAGGTTTGATGCTGTTTGCACACGATGATCACACTTTATACCTTAGTTATGTCAAATTTCAACTCGATATGATAGGAATCTGTGTATGTAGTTCATTTGGACAGTCATATTCTGCCCAAATAGGCTCCGACTAAAGGGAGCACATATCGACAGGACAATTTGTCCATCGAATAAGGCTTCCACTGTAAAATCACCATTTTTCACTCACTAGATGAATCTGGAGAGCTCATTTCCACAGGCCAATATCTTCTATCAAATAAGACTTCCACTGTAGAAGAGAAAGAACTGACTGGAAACACTTTATTTTTAAATATATAATATTTAACACTAATATCACATGTTACAGTGTGAATTTCCTGTTATAATATAGTAAAATTTTATTCATAAAGGGCCTTTCTAAACAAAGTTACAATGTTTTCTACACATGGAAACAAAATTAAATTTAATTTAATGAAAATTATAACGATAAAATCAAATATTAAATCCAAACTCTTCAATCATCAATGTTTAACTGGTCCAAACAAACAATAAAACCAATACACTTTTAAAATGTGACGTGTTGCTTCACTTTTGCCTTGGGAATCGACGAGGATTTAAACTGCAACAGCTCTCGGGGGTCATGTGCATGTGCAGTAGTGCAAATCGTAGCTCAAATCGACAGGACAGTGGCTCCATCAACATCAGCCCCAATTATTTTATTTTATTTTTATTTATTCATTTTGCACATATAACATAACAATTAAAAAAACACACACTAGATAAAGAAGTAGGTGCTGGAAGAGGCAAAAAAACAAACAAAAGCGCATAATATTAAAGCCCCCACCTTATGAATACATTAAGAATTGAACATTATCACTGTGCATAAAAAAAAATATATATATATATATATATATATATATATATATATATATATATATATATATATATAAACGACATTTAAACACCATTAAATGCATTTGATTCAAACATGGATTAAAACACAACGAAACATCCACAATTGAATGATTATCAAACATTATCATGAAATATCAAACATTTCCTCAAACTCTTTTTAAACAACACCTCTGATCACTAACCAGAAGTCAAAACTGGATCCAGAAGTTACAACCTGTGTATCGAACCAACACATTTTGGAACATGAAAATTATGATTTTGATGAGTTTTGTATCTAAGAATCTCTGCATTGGTTTTAAAATTAAATGTGAAATGTTTGAATTATAAAGAATTTTATACATAAAAATACAAATTTGATGAATATTAATGTAATAGAAATTAAGAATGTTCAGTTTGATGAATAAATGAGCAGACGATGTGAGTGGCATAGAGTGAGTTGCATTTCGAACAAAACGTTGCACTAATAATATCTTGTTCAGAGTAGTTGGGAAAGTGCAGCCCAGACTATATTACAATATGACAGACAGGGATAAATTCAACTATAGTATAATGTAAGTCTAGATTTTGTAGTCCAGTCAGCTCCTCTTTCCAGTTTAGCTCATCATTATGCCCAGAAATTTTGGTGGACGAGACACGAGTTATTTCATTTGAATCAATTTAGATTTTAGGGTTAGTTGGAAATGATTTTTTGCCACAAAAGATCATATAATTAGTTGGGGTTTTTTTACATTCAGAGATAATTAGTTAATTTTGAACCATTTCACCAATTCACTTTGTTTTGAAGAAACGTTGCCTCTCTCTCTGTACCTGCTGCTCTCATGCTTCTCATTTCAGTCTTAAAATGTTTGTATTAACTCCCTCTGCATGATCCTGGTGTTTTTAATTCATGTGACTGGAGCTGAACACTGGGTGACGTCACACTCTCTTAGTCGCCTTCTTTACACAGTCTGGGATATTGCTGGATACTGATTCTTTTTCTCTTGTAAATGTTTTAAACCTGTCAGAGTGTGACTGGTTTAACCAGATCTCGGGTAAAAAGAACTGTCGCTGTATGGAGGGATACAAATGGAGAGATGAGACCTGCCTCTCTCAGCCTCAGTGCTGTGGAACCAACAAGTGTGACAACCCCCCGGACATCTGCACCTCCAGTAAAACAGGTACTAACAAGTGCAGGCTTTCAGACAACATCACAACACTCTATAGGACAGGATTATTTCATACAGATGGGGGCAGCTAAGATGAATATTGTTCAGCTGCAGATTTTTGTTGCAATATAGCATGGTCTCGGGTCAAGTCACTAATTGAAATGATCAGGTTCCATATTTATTTTCATGGTAAATTAAAATGTAATAGACCTTTTTCACAACGGCCGGAAGTGCCGCGATGTAGGTTAGGAACTTCTGGTTAATGTTTTTCTATGGCAAAATATTTGTGGAAATGTCTCGCGTATTTTCCACCAGCTTCATAAATCTACCCCATCACCAAATCTTCAACCAACAAGCTCCACAAAGGATAAACATTCTTCCATGAAGAATTTATTCACAACTATCAAGGGAAGAAAGATGAAAACTTAAGGAGAACAACAACCAGGCATTAGTGACACACTCAACAAAACTAATGTTATGGTCATGAATAAAACAGAAGGAACTTCACTCAGACTGATTCTAGAACTAAAATAAAAAATAGATCAACATCTATAGCATTCAAACTGCACAAATTTCTCTATGTCACTCTCACCTTTTAGTTGAAAATCAAACTCCTAAAAAGGACCATGAATCGTTGTATTGAACACAGGCTCCTGAAAATGTGCTGTTTAAATCCACTTAGTGTTTTTTTCCATTTTAAAACTTATTTGGTGGTGTTTGCTAAAGCGTGCATTGTGTCTCCATGGTAACTGTTGAACATTTCTCTATAGATATACATGTAGAACTGACATGTCAAACTCAGGCCCGGGGGCCAAATTTGGCCCGCAATATAATTGTATTTGACCGACGAGATCATATCAAATATGTATGAGAGCTGCCCACCGCACACAGATAAGATGATAGAGACATTATTTATTTAAAATGTTACTATTTTATATTCTGCTTGTTACCTCCGCCAAGGAGGTTATGTTTTTGCCTGCGTTTGTCTGTTTGTTTGTTTGTTTGTTTGTCTGTTTGTTTGTTTGTTTGTTAGCAACATAACTCAAAAAGTTATGGACCGATTTTGATGAAATTTTCAGGATTTGTTGGAAATGTGAAAAGGAAGAAGTGATTTCATTTTGGGGGTGATCCGGAAGAAATCCTGGATTCTGGATCACTTTGAAATTTTAGTTAACATTGTGGTAAATGGGGCCAAAGATTTTGTTTCTCAGTTAATTATTGACCAAACCCCATGAAATTTGACTCAGGGATGGACAATGGGATCCTCTTTCATATTCCAAAGGCTGATCCGGATCTGATCCAGAAGACTGATTTTATCGCAATTTATATAAAAAATGGGGGTAGTCCTTGGCGGAGGTCTGCGCTCTCTGACTGCTTTTCTAGTTCTGGATTCAATGTTTAAGCAAAATTATTATTAAACATTTATTTTATGAATATTTTTTTTATTATGTTAGGAATTTTAATAAGAAAAGGTTTAACATTACATATCTCAAAAGAAGAGAAAACATGCAGATAAATATTTAGTTTGGCCCATGACTTAGTCCCAGTTTTAAATTTTGGCCTCTGTGAGTTTGTAGATGTAGAACATTATTGATCTGGAACGTCTCTTGCTGCAAGTGACTAGAAAACAGGGAACATCATGACAACAACTTAAATCTGATTGGTCAGAGCGTCACAACAGCCAAACAAGACAAACTCCAACTTTTGTTCTGGTGTTGTTTTAGTATTGACGCTAAAATAGGCTGAAGTACATCTGTTGGTGCCGCCATGTTTGTTTTGATTCACCTTTGGCTCCGCCCACATCTCAGTGCTGCTCTGTGATTGGTCGCCCACCACCTGGCGGGCCCTATCACACCGGCGGGGCCAAGATGGATTCTCATGAGTTTGTGAACTCACAGATATCGTGCAAATCCATGTTGCTGTGCAGAGTCAGGGGCACTAAGAGCTAAACCATTATCTGAATATTTTGTTTTCCTTCACAGTAAATATCAGGGGATCTCTTGTACTCGACTCGCAATTTTACATTCAATGTTTGGATACTCCCTCCTCGGACAAATACGAGGAATGCCACAAAAATGTCACCAAAGAGGTAATCTTTTTTATTGATTTATTTTTTAAAACCAAAAGTAAAAATACAGAATATGAATGACTAATCCGATCTTGTTTTCAGATTCAAACATATTATAGTCGCATTTATGGATTTGACAGCCTGAAAATCATCAGATACAGGTGAATTATTTATTAATAATAAAATGTTTCAAAGAGGGATTATTATGCAAAATTGATTTCTATCATGTTATAATGTTCCCTTTTCTTTACATGTCACCCATATCTTTAAGTAATCAAGTGATCTCTCCTGGGCCCTATTCAAACCCTTCTGGTTAGCAGTACAAGCCTGTACAAGACCCCGCCCACAAGCCTACGTCACCCATGCCCCCACACAATTCTCCACAAAAACATGATACAAAATTGTACACAGCATCTTCACAAACCTGATGTGATGTGCACTAGTTTCATGAGTGAGATACAGGAATACATTTTTTGAGAATACAGCATTTTCAAAACAATCAAAGGTCACATGGTGATCTAAATATGCTGCGTTACAGTGAATACCCCGTACAAGTGCAATGTCTACTCCCATCTTGAAGTTTTCTTTCATAAAAACTAATCATTTAGTGTTTTTGTTTCAGGCCGGGGAGTGTGATAGTGGAATTTCAGGTGGTGATTGCTGAGCCTGTGGAACCTTCAATTCTCCAAGACACATCTATGAATTTGACCAAGTTTCTGTCCGCTAAACTTGATCTGCAGACTACAGGTAAATGCATTTTAACACTTATTTAAACGATTAAATAGAGAAGGCTGAAATCTGAGTTTAAAATAAGCCAAGAATCCCATGCATTTCACATGAACCTGCCCAGGGACGACAGGTGGAAATGAGCACTGATGCTACAACCTGGTACAAACATCTCTCCTGTTAAGGTTCATGTCAAAATTGTGCGCTGTCCCTGTCTCATGAAATAAATAAATAAATGTTTGTAAAGGTTTAAACTACAGGGTTAGCAGCTTTTACACAGAGTACTTTTCTGTCTTTCTGTCTGTCTTTCTTTCTTTCTTTCTTTCTTGTTATTTATTTATTCTTTATTTGTCAAGGACCTTGTAGAAATTAATTCATCTTACAAAAGAAAAGATTATTTGTACTAGATTTAACTAGTCTACTTGCCATCTGCAGTCTCTGGGCAGGTGAACTCACATTAAAGATACATATATCATTACAATATAAGACAAACTAAGTTCATCATTAAAGGTGCACTGTGTAACTTTTCTGGTACAGCTGCTTGTCTCCATGGTGATGTGTACAAACACCACAGTATGATATTAAACAGATATGTCAATTATAGGAGTTTTTATTTCTCAAAAACACAAAAACACACATTCTTACTGTGAGCAGGCCCACTTCTCCACAGACCTGACCTGTAACTTGGCCTGGTGATGTGGCTGCTTGTCTCCATGGACATAATTAAATGAAATGCCAGACTGTAGAACATTCCTGGAAAACTCAGTAACATCTACATGAAATGAAGCAGATGGCAGACCGTCAGAAGTTACACAGTGCACCTTTAACAATGTTTCAAATGGCACTATCCCCAGTGCACTACTGGAGTGTAGTGTCTACACTTTACAGACATTTGAAAGATGCTGATGTGCAGGTTTGTGCAGTGAATACAGAACAGAACAAATGACTTAACTGATCTGGGCTGATCTGATTTTCTAATAAGACAACAAAACAAAAGAAAAAAAATACTCATATGAATATTAACATATGAACATTAATAACAGACCAATCAGGCGGTTTCTTTCTCCGAGGTTGTTCTGTGGTACATGCCCATGGACCATGATGGAACTAAGGTCTTGACTAATGAATATAAAGCCACACCGTAATATAAAAAAGATTATTTAATGTTTTGGGTTTTTTTGTACTTTATTATCATCATGATATTGGAATTGGTATTAAGTATTTTTTTTCCCCTTAGTATCAAAATTAGTTTGAAAAATTACACACCTGTCTGTTTGTCAGGTGTAGTTCGCCTGTCAGTGCCTAAGAGAATCTTGGACTATGGATCCAGTGCGACCCTGAACTGCACCTCCACCACTGACCTGAGGGCGATGCCATCCTGGAACCTCACAAACTACATGAACCAAACCAAAAAAATTCACAATGGGACTGAGTCCAACATCATCTCCAGCGCTATGGGGAGCACCGTCAAGCTGTCCTCCGTCTCTCAGCTCTGGAAAGGTAAGAAGAGTCCTGTAGAGTCTTAGTGGAAAGCACTGGAGCTATGACAGCCTAGGGGGCGCTCAGGAGTAGGCACAGAAGGGAGCCAAGGTGTGTGAATAAACCACAAACAACTTACCTGTCAAATCCAGACTGATCTCTCTGTATTTTTTAAACAGATCAATATCAGTCAGGTCCCCACGCCCTGCGCCGAACCTCAAACTCAACCAAACATGATTGTCCAATCAGATTTGTTTATTTCACTGACGCTTGTGAAGCAAAGGAGCTCATTGGTCACATGTCATTTACAAATAAGATCACATTTCCCCTCAGTTTAGTGTCTCTCATTTAATCCGACATGTTTTTAGACTTAGATTTAGACAAACTTTATTGATCCACAAAAGAAATGATTTGGACACAGAAGCTCCTGTTAATTAGCCTGGTGGGATACCTGCTTGTCTTCATGGAGATAAGTTTAATGCCATACACTGAAACATTCCAGGTAAACACAATATCATCTCTATGGAGACAAGTAGGTGGAAAACTGGAAAACTTACAGTTACCTCCTCCCACACAGCAAATCTCCATAAATATACAAAAGCATGAGAGAGCTCTGAAGGGGGAATGACTTAGTGTAGGGAGCAAAGGGAGGACGATTTACTTTGAAATGATTATTACTGATTGTTTCCTTTTCTAGGCTGGTACAGCTGCAGTTTCATACAGAACGAAAATCAGCTGAACATCCACCACACGGCTGTAGCACACGTGGATATCTGTGTGAAGCCAAAGATCACGATCAGGACCAACCCGGGTTTTCCTTTCTGTAATAGCAGCAACGGCTTAAACGAAGTCACCATCAGCTGTGAAGTTGAGCAGAACTATGAAACGTACAATGTGTCCTGGGAAAAAGAGAACACTACAAGCATTACACCACTGCCACACTCCAGTCAGTAAATAAATTATGGATATCTATAAAATATCTTTCTTTGTGTTACTCTGGGCCTCCTCTGCTCCTCTGTCTCTGCTCCTCTGGTTCTGCTCCTCTGCTCCTCTGTCTCTACTCCTCTGGCTCTGGTCCTGCTCCTCTCTGCTCCTCTGGCTTTGCTCCTCTCTGGTCCTCTGACTCTATTCCTCTGCTCCTCTGGTTCTGCTCCTCTGGTTCTGCTCCTCTGCTCCTCTGCTCCTCTGGTTCTGCTCCTCTGACTCTGCTCCTCTGGCTGTGGTCCTGCTCCTCTGACTCTGCTCCTCTGGCTGTGGTCCTGCTCCTCTCTGCTCCTTTGGCTCTGCTCCTCTGGCTTTGCTCCTCTCTGCTCCACTGGTTCTGGTCCTGCTCCTCTGGCTGCTCCAGTCTGCTTCACTGTCTCTGCTCCTGTCTGCTCCTGCTTGTCTTAGTTTTACATTTTTATTTTGAACGTATTTTTCCAGGTGATGCCGGAATGGATATCTTCAGCGTCATCACACATGTGAGCTGTAGCTCTATAAACCCTCAAGTCACTTGTACGTTAATAAACAGGTGCGGACAGGAGACGGAAGCTTCCATTAACATCAAGCTCATCAAAGGTACGCGTCATTTATAGACAGTTTAAAAGGTGCACTATGTAATTTTTCTGGTGGAGTGTGTGAGACCTGCTTGCCTCCTGGAGACATTATTGGTTTGTCTAAAATGTTCCACTATATGGCATTAAATATACTGTCAATCATCACGTTTTAGAATCTGAAAACTACGGAAGCTGAGAGGGGTCACAACAAACGCAAACGCCGCAACAAATACAAATGCGACAACACAACAAAAAGCCACAACAAACCAAAAAAAGCCACAACGGAAATGACCACGGGACTTTATTTTAATACAAATGCCACAACACAAACGCAAATGCTGCAACACATTAAAAAGCCACAACACATTAAAAAGCCACAACAGAAGTGACCGCGGGACTCTATTTTCTGACAGACCGATCAAGCGGCAAGTGAAGAAGAAGAACTACAACGTGAAACGAATAATGATAAAACTATAAATTACTTTTACTTACGTTTCCAACTTCTCCGTTCATTTACTTTTCACGTTGTAGTTCTTATGCTTCACTTGCCGCTTGATCGGTCCATCAGAAAATAGAAAGAGTCCCATGGTCACTTCCGTTGTGGCTTTTTAATGTGTTGTGGCTTTTTAATGTGTTGTGGCTTTTTAATGTGTTGCGGCATTTGAATTTGTGTTGTGGTGTTTGTATTTGTTGTGGCGTTTGCATTAAAATAAAGTCCGGCGGTCATTTCCGTTGTGGCTTTTTGTTGTGTTGTCGCATTTGTATTTGTTGCGGCGTTTGCGTTTGTTGTGACCCCTCTCAGCTTCCGTAGAAAACCACCCATTGGTATGATACGATATGTCTCTGTTCTGTTTGTGTCTAGAACATAGCACATAAATGAGGCTTTAGTGGAGTCATGCTACAATAAATAAAGACCAAATGCAGGATGACCTGATCTGCACTTTAGCGTGAAAGGGCCTATACTGATTATTCTTCCTCCTCCTCTCCTCCTCCTCTCTTGTCCTGCAGTGGGGGATCCTCACTGCTCTGAGGAGAAGGGCAGTGATTGGAAGCCGACCCCGGTGGAGCATATGGCAGAGATAAAGTGCTCTGGGTCTGTGGGCACCAAACAACGTTACTGTAACAAAGACGAGACCTGGGGCGAGGAGACGTCCCTCTGTGTGAACCCGGAGCTGCACAGTGTCCTGAACGATGCCGGAGTGAGTGTTTCCCGGGGGTCAAGAACTCTGACATTATGACATCATGCTGGGGGTGTTCTACATGTATCTCTCACACATAACATTACAGCATTACAGCTAGTTAGCATTAGGCAACAGTTTTTTAGTGAGTCACTCTCATCTTTTTGTTGAAAATCAAACTCCTAAACACGACCATGAACGAAGATGAATTGTGCTGTTTAAATTAATTTTGTATTTTTTTAGACGACTGTAAAACGTATTTGGCTGTTTGCTAATGTGTGTCAGCATGGTAAGTGCTGATGTCACTGCAGAGTATTAGAATTTGATTAACTGCACAGCTCAGCTAATTTATTTATAATATTTTGTATGTATATATGCAATTAATTTATTGAAGAAAAAAATAATAATAATTGTTTAAATTACTTCCTGAATGTATTACTTATCATTTTTCATAATCAATCATCTGTTTCAACTGTTTTGTAATTTGTAATACAACAATGACAAAAAAAAAAAAATCTCAACAACAATGCTACAAACAACAACACCACCACCCACAACAACAACTCTTTTTTTTTATATAATAATTTTTTATTTGCAAACTACATAGATTACAACAAATAGGAACCAAACAACATACAAGATACAAGACAGACATTACGATATGTGTGTGTCTGTGTGTGTGTATATGCGTGCGTGTGTGTGTATGTGCACATACGTGTATGTGTGTGTGTGTGTGTGTGCCGGGGGGGGGGATAGACAGGCTATGCGGATGATTTACTGTTGACCTGTATTATTGCTATTTAATTTGAGTATTGAAAATTTGTTAAGTGTGTGTTGGCATGCGGTCGCCCATCGACCAGGCCGGCCCACCCCCCAATGAACCACCTCCCGGTCTGAATGCTCCCCCTCCCTGATATATATGTAAATGGCACTCAAAGCACTTTACAACAAGGAACCACTCACCCATTCACACACACACATTCACATACCAGTGTACACAGACACTGTGGGCAAGGTGGGTTAAGTGTCTTGCCTAAGGACACAACGACAGCTTTCATCTGTGGGAGCTGGAATCACAACAGCCAACCTGTGGGTCAGTGGATCTGACCGCTCAACCTGTGATGTTTTTTATGTTGAGAGCTGGATTCAAACAGCCAACCTTTAGATCAGTGGGCCAATGCTCTACCAATTGAGCAACTGCCGCCCATGTATGTACATGTGCATACATTCACACGCACACATGCATGCACGCACCTGCCTGCACAGGAATGTGCATGCACATCCACATCCACACAAGCCTGCACACACACTCACACAATTCACACACATGAACCCACATTCATCCCTGGTTGACTTGTGATGCATTAAAAAAACGTTGGGTGTGATGCATTAAAAGTATCAGGGAGGTAAGGAGCTTGGGGGTAGACCAGAGAGTGAAGCCAGCACAGAGGGGAGACCCTGAGGGGACGGGAGAGCACGCAACCGGGCACCCGTAGGAGGACCCTCACACCCAACACCCAGGTGACAGCAGAGAGGGCCCAGCCCGCTAGGGACCTGAGGCAGACAACTTTGTGCTGTGTTCCTAAGTCTATTAAAGTTCTGTTTTATATAGCCTGTCTATCCCATCCCTGTTTCTTTATAAAATAAAGCAGTGTGTATGGCATTGCGTGTGTTTGTACAGGTGCGTGTGAGTGTGTATGGGTGTGTTATGTGTGTGTGCATGTGTATGTACTCTCAGGACTTCATCTATTTTAATGTCAGGCAAAATGTGGTTGGCTACCAGACAAAGAAAGGAGTTAAGGAACGAGGAGTAGAATAATCAAATATGAAATTACATTTGTAGAAAATGGAGGAAGGTGGACCAGGGTGAGTGTGGTGCTGTTGTGCTGACGGGGGTGGTAGATGTGTATTCCAGAGAGATATGGTCAATGAGTAGGTTTTTCCAGTGTGTCAGATGCATGTTGTGTCTTGATTTCCAGTTCATGAGGATAGTTAGGGCCACAAGGAGAGGTTTATGGTTTTTATTATCTATTGTGATTATTGAAAGGTCTCCTAGAAGGCAGAGTGAGGGGGACATGGGGATGCGACAACCCATGAAGTGGGATAGTGAGTCCGTGATTCCTTCCCAGAAGTGCCTGATGGGTGTGCAATGCCAGAAGGTGTGAACATAAGTGTCGGGGAGGTTTTGTTTGCAATTTGTGCAGTTAATTTCTGATGTGAAACACATTTTCAGCATTTTTTGACCAATATAGTGAGTTCTGTGGAGTACCTTATATTGTATGAGTTGTAGATTTGCATTATTTGTCATGAGATAAATAAAAACAACAACAACTCTAACAACAACACCACCCACAACAACAACTCTAACAAAAACACCACCACCCACAACAACAACTCTAACAACAACATCACCAACAACAACAACTCTAACAACAACAACACCACCCACAACTACAACTCTAACAACAACACCACCACCCACAACAACTCTAACAACAACATCACCAACAACACCACCCACAACAACAACTCTAACAACAACACCACCCACAACAACAACTCTAACAACACAACACAACAACACCACCCACAACAACAAACACAACAACAACAAACAACAACAAAAACACCACCACCCACAACAACAACTCTAACAACAACAACATCACCAACAACAACAACTCTAACAACAACAACAACTCTAACAACAACACCATCAACAACATCACCACCCACAACAACAACACCACCTACAACAACACCACCACCTACAACAACACCACCATCAACAACATCACCACCCACAACAACAACACCCACAACAACAACAACACCATCATCAACAACACCAACAACATCAACACCACCACCCACAACATCAACCCCACCACCCACAACAACAATACCAACATCAACCCCACCACCCACAACAACACCATCAACAACAACAACACTATCAACAACACCAACAACATCAACACCACCACCCACAACACCACCATCAACAACATCACCACCCACAACAACAACAACACCATCAACAACAACACCACCACCCACAACAACAACCACACCAACAACATTAACACCACCACCCACAACACCACCATCAACAACATCACCACCCACAACAACAACAACACCAACAACATTAACACCACCACCCACAACACCACCATCAACAACATCACCACCCACAACAACAACAACACCATCAACAACAACACCACCACCCACAACAACAACACCAACAACATTAACACCACCACCCACAACAACAACACCAACAACAACAACACCCACAACATCACCAACAACAACACCACCATCAACAACAACACCCACAGCAACACCATCAACAACACCAACAACAACAACGCCACCACCCACAACAACAACACCAACAACACCATCAAGACCACCATCAACAAAAACAACACCCACAACAACAACAACATGGGAGCAGGAAAAATGAATATTGTTCAACTGCAGATATTTATTGCAATACAGCATAGTCTTGTGTCTAGTCAATAACAGAAATTATCAGGTTCCATATCTGGTCATTTTCCTTTCCGATAATTTCATGGCAAAGTGCAGTAGGAAAAAACTGTGTCTTGCCCCTCACCCCATCTGGGAGTATGACATCATCACATTCAAGAATCTGAAAACCACCAAAATTGTAGATGCCCAGTCTGATTCAAACTAGGGATGTAACAATAACCAAAATATTTTTATATCGTATCATTAAAAGTCCCAATGATAACTGTGGGTCATCACAATATATCAAATTACAAGTTTCTCTGTTTAAATTCACTGTTATGGTGCAACAACAGCTAAAAATCAGAGAAAACTACGTAGACCATGATCCTTTGCTCAGTTTTAGTCCAATCTACAGGATGAAATAACTGTTATTAAGTACTTTTAAATCTTAATTATTTGGATTATGACAGAAAAGTAGCATATTCACAGTTTTGTGCACCTCCACAAAATTTTGCAATAAATATTGTACCGTGAGATGCATATCGTGAAAATATTGTATGGTGTAAGAGATTTGTTACATCAAGGTTATATGTCTAATTCAAACCCCATTTCCTCTTCAGACATCAGACATTGGGCTGGGGGCTCTGCAGGACAACGCTGCAAATGTGTTTGATAGGCTTCATTCTATAACCACAGAGGACTCGTCAGGGATCAAGACCGTGGCCAACCTCAATACCTCTGTGATGGTCATAAACACCATGAACAGCAAACTGGAATCCATCGACAGAAACACCGTCGTCAGTGTGAGTACAAATCATACTGTTTACCATTTTCAACTACAACTCCACAAATCAAATCAAACACAGTCCCCATATACTTAGTATAAGAGTCCACCATTTCCACTGCTTCCCCATGGATAAAGCTCGCTTTTGGACAAAATTGACTCTTTTGAGCTTTAAGCCATGTCATAATGTTGTTACCTCCACAAAAACAAGGAGCTGTGTTTTGTTTCATTCACATGTTTGAGTAACCCTTTATTATTAGTCTACATCTCCAAAGTTCAAAATGCTCTTTTCCACCTTATGATGTCACGAAGTGGTAGTTTGAACAGCTAATTTTTATCTTTAGTTCAGTAGAGATTGGCAATGCCATGTCTGAAATGATTCAAATGATTCTAGCGAAGGTGAATGGAGTTTAAAATCACAGTGGAGCACTTCCTGTATGGAAGTGCACATGGCATCACAAGGTGGAGTGTTTTCTGTTTGAGAGAAGAACTGTCAAACATATGTGAATGAAACAAAACACAACCAAGTCTGTCTGTGATTAGGAAACAACATTATTACATAGATTAGAAAATCAGGTGAAATGGGCCTTTAAGTTTTAACGCCTTCTGTGTTTTATTTGTAGGATTTCCTGAAAACCTCCAGTAACCTTTTGAATGAGTCTCTGGCACATTCTTGGACATCTGTACAAAAAATTGAAAACAGTAAGAAAAGTTTAGCAGAGATGTTCTTGTTCTCTGTGGAGGAACTCATTAACAAAGCTGGAATGAACGAGCAGGGGACGTTCCAAAATCTTCAAGTTGTCAGCTGCATTTTATCCAAATCAGAATGCGTCAATAAAGTTTTTAACAACACTGTGACGATGAAAGGAGCGTCTATCAAAACCACCGGATTTCAACATCTTGAAAAGTATTTATCGAACAATAGCAGCTATATTCCTAACAGCATTGTTGTTTCCACCACCAGGCAGTTAGACACGGACCAGAAACAAGAACCAGTTACAATCCAAATCAAATTCAGTCTCTCCAAATCTCGACCGCGTAACTTCGAACTGAAATGCTCTTACAGGGACAAAAATGCTAGCGACTGGTCTCAAGACGGCTGCAAGTGGATTAGCGATTCCACCTGCGAGTGCAATCACCTGTCCTCGTTTGTGATCTTGATGTCGAAGACTAAGCTAGAAGTGCCATACCTTACCGAAGTCTCATACGTAGGGCTCTCCGTGTCCATAGTTTGTCTCATCATTTGTCTCGTGGTAGAGTTGATCATTTGGCATGACGTCGTGAAAACAGATACGCTGCATTTACGGCACTGCGCTCACGTTAACATCTCCCTGTGCTTGCTCATCGGAGATATCTGCTTCCTGGCTTCGGCCTTGCCTGAAGAACTTAACGAAGTGTGGTGTAAAACCTTTGTGGTAGTTGAACATTTTTGCTATCTCGCCATGTTCTTTTGGATGTTCTGTCTCAGCAGCATTCTCCTACACAAAACAGTTTACGTTTCTTTGCATGGCATTGGTAAAACTGCCTATTTGAGATACTCCATGGTCGTGGGCTATGTTTGTCCTTTGCTAATTGTCGTGATTACGTTTCTCGCCAACAACGGTGCGGAGGGGCAGTACTACTCGAAGGAAACGCGCTGGCTGGTCTACAACGGCGTTTTGAAAGGCTCCATCTTCACGTTCATTCTGCCCATCGGGACCATCGTGTTCATAAATATGTTTTTCATGTGTCTCGTGATCATGAAGTTGCTGCAGCCCATAAAAGCACAGCAGATGTTGGAGGATAAGGATAAGAATTCAGCCAAAACAGTGATCCGGTCTGTAATCCTCCTGACTCCGGTGTTTGGACTCACCTGGGGACTGGGGTTTCTGATGATCATCTTTGACCTCAGCAATGGGTTTCCGGCGTACGCGATCCACTACCTGTTCACCATCATGAATGCGTTTCAGGTATGTGGGAAAGTCTGGAAGGGTGGATTTAAATTTCAAAATAGGTCTTGAATTTGGGCAACTAGCCTACAGACTTATCTGTGCAGCCAAAACCCCAAACTTTGATAAGAACAAAATCAATGATTTTGTAAATATACAATCACATTTATAGCTTCATAAACTTAGGCTACATTCAGACTATAGACTGTATAAAAGAAGTGGACTAAGCGAGTGTAATGTCACCCACAGCATTCAGCGCCGCTCATATGAGGCTCGTGGTGCTCACAGTTACAGGAACGAATCTGGAGCCAGGTTCTGTATTATGAATAGGATTTTTTTGACGGACAAAATAGCGGAAAAAAAAAATGTTGCAGGTTAATACAAACATTTTAAGACCAAAATGACGAGGCTCACAGCAGCAGTGGCTCCTATGCTCCTGTATCTGGTCTTTTAAAGGGCCCATCTCATGCAAAATCAACTTTTCAGAGCTTTCTACCTTCTAAGAGTGATGTGTGGGCCTTGTATTTGTCTCTGAAGTGTTTTTTAGATTGATTCAGCTTTTTTTTAAAAAAAAACTAATTGCAGTGTATTTCTGCCACCCTCCCACGTGACAACGAACTAAAGCTGCTACAACGATGACACGGCAGATACACCTATGATGCTTTTGACGTAGCAGAAAGCACTTCACATCCGCCCCCTACCCCACTCCCCCGCCTCCGCCCCGCCTCCACCCTGCATCACCTGACAATTCCCACATAAACACCTAAACAAAGCGACAGCATAAGCTCATTGTTCTACACTGTAGTGTACACAATATAATAAGTTTATCTACTAGTGTGAAGAATCCCTCAGTCGTCCAGGTAGAATCCATGAGGAGAAAATTCAGTTTGTCAACTGGACAAAAGTTCATTTGGTTGAAGACGCAGCTTCAACCAAACTAACTAACTAACTGAATTTTCTCCTTATTTATCTACTAGTGTTTATTAATATTTTACCAATCAATAATGTTCAGCTGATGTGGACGCGGTGCTTGAGCTTGGTGCACCTCAAAGTCCTCGTCCGATTCTGGGTCCAACACATGCGGCTGAACGCGCTGTATCTCCATGATGAATAAAAGTTTATTCCTACCACTATCAGGTGCACACCTGTCTCCTCCTCCCTCCCTAAGATGGGCGGAGGAAGGGCGGCTCACTCGGAGCCTACATCACGTTTGGAGGGCGGAGCCTGTGCTTTCTCAGGACGGGCGGGGGGGAGGAGCAATAGTCGGTCTTTCATAGTTCCTGGTCTGTGTCTGCCTCCAAGAAATCAGTAAGATTGTGTATTGGATGTTCCAAAACCCAAATTGTGCTTGTTTATGTGCAGAAGATACAATGTGAAAAGAGTTATTTTGCATGAGATGGGCCCTTGAATGACAATCTGAACGACACAGATCCGATTTTTTCAAATGCGACCCAGACCACTTGGATATGTGCTCCTAAAAACAATACATATCTGAACTTTTGACACGCGACTTCAGTCGGAGCGGCCAGGTCACATTCATCCCACCTACACGACAGGCTCGGAGTCTCGTTAATGGAGGGAAAGCGAGGTTTGCAAGTTTATTAATATTTGGGGGGATTGCTGTATTCAGGCCAAATTGGAGGGGTCTTGGAGGGAACCAGTTTTTGAAATGATTGCCAAAGAAATGTCCAAGCACGGCTAAAGGCAGACCTGGCTCCGGGGTCAATGAAAAATAAAGAGCCCGCAAGCCAAATACAAGGAGACTAAAGACTCAACAAAACAAAGCAACTGTGGACATGTAACCTGTCCATTTTACTGACAACTGGACCATTTGGGAGACAACCTCAGAGTTTAGGCGACTTCCGTAAACACAGAGCACGCTCGCTGTGTGTGGTTCGTCGTGTCCTCCAATGCACATGCGGAACACTTTTTGGGGCATTTAAAGTTCACACTAGAAATCACTTACAAGTTTAAGTGGAAATGTGAAGGACCTCGCAAAAAAATCGGATTTCTCAAAAAAATCTGAATTGAGCATTGAGCCCTGCAGTCTGAACGTAGCCTTAGACTTAAACTTTATTGATCCACAAGGAAAATGATTTGGACACAGTAGCTCACACATCACAAGATATTATAATAACAAAGAGTAAAATAAAAATATAAATGGCAATAATACATTCTAAATAAGTATCAATAATCACAAGAGATTGGTGTCATTTAAGGCATAGTTATATAAATGTAAAAATTAAATAAATGATAGAAATAATAATACAAATATATCTCAGCTATTCACAATAGTATTTCCATTTTAACTGATGCACTGTGGACAAACTGGGAGTAACAATGACATACAGAGACAGCACATCAATATTGGTGCTAAATACTGGGGCCTTTTCTTTTTTTACTTAACCCAATAAAAGTCCAAGCATCACTCACGTTTCACCCTAGACTCAAAATGGCTGGTTCTTCATTTACTCTTCACGCTGCAGACTTTCAGAACACTACATTTTTACAAGAACAACCGATATGATTTATTACACTGAATGCCGTTTGACTATAAACTGGAAAAAAGGAAACAAATATTGGAATTTGCATGTCAACAATGGAAATATTAAGAAATCATTTAACCACTCATTGTCCTGAGAGAATTATGGTATCATTTTTGTGCAGACATGAGTGAATTCAGACTAGAATCTAGATCTCATCTCAACTACACACTGAAGTAGAAGTTTGGCAAACATGTAGTTGGAACAATACTCTTCATATTTAATGGTTGGAATGAGCCAGAGTCCTTTTGTCTTTTAAACTGAACTGAGAATAAAATGCTTCTCTTTTAATTTAACTTCTTCATAGTCTTTCAAACTGTACAAACTTTACATTCTTTTGTACTTTCAGAAATATACTTGTAGTTTCCCAAAATGTTGACAGTAACAGCTGCAGTCCTAAAACCATTTTGTTTGACACTTTACTGACACTATAAAAAAAACCAAAAAAACTTTATTTATAGTTTATCAAAAATGTGTGCTACAGAGCTGCATCACTTTTTTTTTTACTTAGCTTTTATTTTCTTTCTCAGCAATAATACCATGATTTTAATCAATACACAGACATTTTCTTTTTTTCAATTTAACAGAAAACAAACAAACAAAACAAGCAAACAACAGAGTGACATAATTAAACGTCCACTCTTTATATATCAGAGACCAGTCCAGTGAGGTTTATTTGGTCTTCAGATAGTTTATGTTATTAGGTTCTTTTTTCAGACCAAGAGTTTGTTCTGCTCCCTGCACTCTTCGCGTCACGTGATGTTGCTGTGACATGTCTGGTCATTTGATTTAAACAGGTTTTGTTGCTGTCTTCATACCGGTGGAGGCAGGACGACAGCGCCATCTGCAGTCCCACTTCCTCAGGACAGAATCGCAGGTGTTTGTGAGTAAAAAGCCCCCACATCCCGGTGTATAGTCCCCTGGGCACCTTTCCGTATTTCCATTGCCTCTTGAATCCAGCGACGACGTTTGTTTTCCTCTGTTCTAATGAGCAAACGAAGTAGCAAACATCATTGGGACAGACAACAAACATCGTCGATGGATTAAAGATGCAGTCGAAATACAGAAACGTGCCCATGGGACTGTAAACCGGGACGAGGGGCTTTTTTACTCACACTCCTGGGATACTGTCCTGAGGAAGCCGGACTGTAGATGGCGCTGTCGTCCTGCCTCCACTGGTAGGAAGACAGCACGAAAACCTGTTTAAATCAGCTGAGCGACACGTCACAGCAACATCACGTGACTCTGAGGAGCCGTGGAAACACTCAGGTATAAAAACAAACCCTTGGTCTGAAAAAAAGAAGCTGATAACATAAATCAGAGACTGTTCTAAAAGAAGCCCCAAGTCACAAGTACTGTATTAACAAAGGCAGAACAGGTTTCCAACGCTTAATAAACGTGGAATATCTGCTCAATTATCTTCTCCATCTGAGCTGCATCACTTTTGGAAAAAAAACTGTTATAAATACCAATGACTGCTTCTTATTTTAATCAAGTATTGACCTATTCAATATTCAGAACCGTTATCGGAGCATTATATTACTTTTCCGGTAGAGGCTCCACCACAATCGGTACAATCATTTAGGCGTGTGATATAATAGTTTAAAGCCATACTCTGGGACATTCAAGGCAAAGCAATGACATCTCAGTTGGGACCAGAATGTGGTAGACCCTATATCAGGGTCTGGTCAAGTGGTAACGGAGGGAAACGGGCAGATTTTTGACATTCAAATGTCTCTTATTCAGAAACTAGAGGGACTTTTGAAATAAGTATCAGAATGTAGGAAAGAGTTACACTCCAACAGGGTCAAGTTAAACCTGTGATATTCTTTCAAGTTGTTGACAAAAAAATTAAAAACTCATGTCAGTAACAGAGGGAATGAAATATGCAGCACTTTTTGGACAATAAATCCAAACAGTGATAACTCTTGGTTCTCACTTCCATATCCTTAACAAACTGGTTTGAATATTTGCTTCATATAGTTTTCTACCATATGGTGCAAGATTAGGTTGAAAAACCTCTTACTTTTTGACTCATGAGATTTTTTATTAAGAAAGATCATGGTAACGGAGGGAAAAGTAACGGAGGGAAAATTGTGCAAACAAGTAGAAGGTGCAGGATTTTACATCATTTGTCGCTTTTTTCTTCCAAATACTTAATATTACTTCAAAATGAAAGGAAACTATTTCTATAAAATATGTCAGTCCTTCCAAGCAAATTTTAAATACATCATGTACCTTCATCAACAGTTCAAAGATGGAATAACACAAGATATGATGAAATACATCCATTTATTGACATGATTTGCAGGTCTTTGAAATTTGGGAAATAATTTTTGTTCCATGTTTCATACATGGTCTGTTTAAAACATATGTAACTTTAGAACCAAAAATGGTACAGAGAAAAGGTCAACAGTTTCATAAACTAGAGTACATATGTATCTGTTCAATACATTTTTATATCAGATGAATTAACTTGAATTTTTGGCCTTGTTGTTTACTTCTGCTTGACCGGGCCCTGCAGTAAAGTTACATAAATGCTTGTTATTTCCTATGACTGTATACAATATTTTCTTTGTTTTTGCATTCACAGGGTCTGTACATCTTTATCACTACATGTGTGGCTGACAAAATGGTAAGTCAAGAAAAGACTAAACTACCACAAACAGTAAGTCTTATGTCTTTAAAAGTGTAATACAGATATTTTGGTTTATCAGTTATTTATATTATTGTTACAAATCCTTTTTACAGCAAATCTCCACAGATTCAAACCACGCAGAATAAGGATTAAAGGCCCTGTATCTGATTTTTTTGTTCTGTACATATGGGAAAAAAAATCAAATACAGGGACTTTAACCCCTTATTCTGCGTTCTGTCTTTCCCCAATACAGCAGCTCTCAAGTCAAATTAAATCCACTATCTACTGTCTGCATTTCTGTCTGATAATCAGGAAGTGTGTGATAGCATGCTAGTTATTGCTGTCTTTAACTGTGACGGCAAAACTCCACGCTGCTCACGCTCTTATAAACTCATCGTGGTGAATAATTAGGGGGCTCTAAATGCATAAGCTGAGTGAGGAATAACTTTTTCCTCATCTTATGGAATCCAAACATTTTAATTCATAAATATGTGTAATCCATTGTTCATTGTCCATTCTTGTGTTTTTTTGCTTCAGGTGCGCGAGGGGCTGTTAAGATATATCAGGAAGAAAACGACGGTATGTGAAGTTTCAAAACATTTTACTATCATTATCATTTTTGAATTGTAATACCTATTTCCTTAATTTTCAGGGTGTTTCATCTTTCTCTTCAAACTCCTCTGTGGACCAATCATCTATCAAGAAGCCATCCCAGAACTAAAAGGTTCATGGAGCAGAGTTATGGTTAAGGTTAAGGTCAGGGAAATGTTGAAAGGTCCTGGAATACTCAAGATGAACTCGTGTGGATTTTTTTATTATTATTTTATATTATTAGTCTGTCTACATCTCCAAAGCTCAAAATGCTCTGTTCCACCTTGTGATGTCATGAAGCAGTAGTTTAAAAATGAACAGCTCTTTTTACTTTTAGGTCAGCAGAGATTGTCAGTCCAAGGTCTGAAATGATCCAAATGATTCTAGTGAAGGTGCATGGAGTTTAAATACAATGAAGCACTTCCTGTATCACCACATGACATCACAGGGTGGAACAGCACGTTTTCTGTTTGAGAGAAGAACTCAACCTAAATATGCAGGTTTGGGAGTTAAACATGTGTGAATGAAACAACTCCAGGTCTGTTTTTGCCAAACAAACGTGAACATGGTGATGTAAATATGTTATGTGTTTGCAATTAAAACAGCATAAAAGTAAAATCCTCCTTCTTGAAATGTAGGATAAGAATACTGCTCTGGCTGAGTGCAGGTTTAAGTCTTCAGCATTTAAATCAGGGGTGTCACACTCATTTTGGTCCGGGGGGCCAGATCCAACCTACTTTGATCCCAAATGGGCCGGATCAGAAAAAACATGGCATATATACACCAAAAATAACAAGTTCAAACATTTGTGCAGAGAAACACAAATCTAAATGAAACAAAACCTTTTTTAATTGATGAACTCTTTCTTTTACAAAATATTATGAACCTGAAACTTTAAGAAAAATGCAATTTCAACACAACATTTTAACATGAACTTGTCTGTAAACAGGAATAAGTCAATTTTTCTTGTAAAATCCTGCACTCGGCTCCACTTTTCTCATGTTGGACATTTTTCTGATGAGGGGGTCACGGTCAACAGTCAAAACGATCGTCCTTTAAGAGCGTTTGGAAAGAGACAAGTCTTCATTTGTGCTGCTCTGGTGGGAGGGGCCACGTACAGAGACGCTGGAGACGCTGCTGTGATAAACTCCACAGAAAATGAACAATATTTTAATAGAAAGTATAATTCAAATATTTTAGTAGAAAATCAGCCGAGGGCCAGATTAAAGGTCTTGGAGCGCCGGATCTGGTCCGTATGTTTGACACCCTGATTTAAAGCATTGCCTTTTTATTCATGTAACTTGTCTGAACACAAATATGACAAAAATATTGTGAATGTGTAAAAAGAAAGTAAGTAGGGCTGCAACTATTCTAAAGTAATTCCCAAAAGATATTTACTTTTATGTTTTAGAGTCTGTATAGTCCAGAGACAAGTACAGTTGTTGTTTTTTTTATAGACTTAGAATAATTATGACCATTATGATTAGTGGATTAGTTGTTGCAGGTTTGAGTCTAAAATGGGCTGTTGAAAATTCACATTATTTGAAATCCTTTTATCATGGACTCATTGTGTGGTGTTGATATTGTCTGTGTTTTCTTTGCCGTCCAGGCTCCACTCCTCGTCTTCTTCGTCTAGTTTGAGGCCTTTCTGAACGGCCGTCTTCCTGTGGGCCTGGCACTCCACCTCTGCCCTGAAACACAGCACAAACAGGGCTGGGTGTACTAATCTTAAATGTAGATTAAACGCATGCTTGGGTTTGTGGGAAAACATATTTACTAAAACACACATGTGATCAATGTAAAGAGTTTGCATGGAAAAATATATTCACATTTCTGTAAACGAAGCAACACATGTTATTATACTATCATTATACAATAAAGTCATAGTTAGCTAAAATAGCGTGTTTTATGTGTCAGACAAACTAAATGCTTTTATGAGTGCACACAACATACACTAGCAATGTGTGAGAAGTGTCTTGCTTAAGGGCACAAGCACAGAAAGCACTGTTGAGGCTTTGGCACAGTAGAAAATGAAAAAGATTAAAGGTCCTATATTGCACAAAACTGACTCTTGTGAGGTTTTAGCCATGTTAGAATGTTTCCTCCTCAAAATCAGACCTGGAGTTGTGTTTGTTTCATTCACATGTTTGAGTAACTCTTTATTATGAGTCTGTCTATGTCTCAAACAAAACACAACTCCAGGTAGAGTTTGTGATGTGGAAACAACATAACACAGATCAGTGAGGTGACATCGAGGCAAAGCTCTCAATTTACCATCAATCTCCGTTCCTCCCCTCACCTCTGCTCATGAGCTTTGAGTAATGACGGAAAGGACGAGATCACAGATGGTCACAAGTGGTCAAAATGAGTTTCCTCCACAGGGTGTCTGGGTGCTCCCTTAGAGATAGAGTGAGGAGCTCAGTCACACAGGAGGAGCTCGGAGTAGAGTCACTGCTCCTCCATGTCGAGAGGAGCAGCTGAGGGTAGGACATCTGTTCTGATGTCTCCTGGACGCCTCCCTGTGGAGGTGTTTCAGGCATGTTGAAGGTTGGCGGTTCGATTCCAGCTCTCGACATAAAAACATCACAGGATGAGTGGTCAGATCCACTGACCCACAGGTTGGCTGGTGTGATTCCAGCTCCTACAGATGAATGCTGTCGTTGTGTCCTTGGGCAAGACACTTAACCCACCTTGCCCACAGTGTCTGTGTACACTGGTGTGTGAATGTGTGTGTGTGTGAATGGGTGAATGGTTCCTTGTTGTAAAGCGCTTTGAGTGCCTTGAAGGTGGAAAAGCGCTATAGAAAAATGTGACTATTTACCATGTTTAGACTGCTGCCTCTGCAGCCCAGCCCCAGATAAGAAGAAAAGAAAAGAAAGAAGAAAATGGATGGATGGAAAACAGATCAGAAAATAACACTATATAGGCCTTTAAACAAATAGTGTCATGAATCAGAATGGTACTTTTTGAGGAAGAGGGTGCACTCCTTGTGTCCGTAGATCTGAGCGATGCGAGAGGGCGTGTCTCCGCAGCGGTCACGTTTGTCCATGGGCGCGTGGTGCACGTGGAGCAGACGCAGGACGCCCAAACGACCCGACTCAGCAGCAAAATGAGCCGCGGTCCAACCCAGCTCCGTCTGAAGACACGCACGAGCCCCGTGAGCCAGCAGGAGCTGCACCAACTCTGTGTGGCCTGGAGGGGGCGGCAGAGAACGTCATGTTAAAAAATGTATTTATTGATGTAATACACAATAGTATGATTTGAATACATTAAAAGCAACGGCAGTAAGAAAAATAATAAAAAAAAGTTGTGAGGAACATTCAGGACAAAGCAATAATGTAATGGTGACCAGAGGTGGGGACGTGCAAGTTGTGAGCTGGACTTGAATCAGACTTGAGTCACTATTTTTAGGACTTAAGACTTGACTTGATAAAATAGACTATAAAACCTGGTGACTCGACTAAATACTTTTCTCTTTACAGTTGATACATGCGGTGCTGAATTTTACAGGAACAACCTGGAACATGTCCCTCTGCATTTATTACTTTGGCTGTAACTGAAGTACTGTGATATGGTATCCTCAAATGTACTACAGTAATATACAGTACAATGCAGTAATATACAGTATAATACAGTAAAACAGGGAACTACATAGAACACCATCCTTCCATTTCAGACAAAATAACTGTTATTAAGCTCTTTTAAATCTGAATTTCTGTTCTGACTGTAATAATTCACACTAAGATCTTGTCAAGACGTTTAAAAAGGAAAAAACTGCATTTCCACAACTTCTTCTATAAATACTCATATACAAATATACCATGACTTTTTAAGTACAGTTTTGTTTAAAAGTCATATAAACTTCAAAAACTTGAAATGATGTGAAGCTCAAAGCAGACGACTTGGACTTGACTTGGACTTGACTTGGACTTATGGACCAGTGACTCGAGACTCGACTTGGACTTTCCTGTCTTTGACTTGGGACTTGACTCGGACTTGAGGTCAAGGGCTTGAGACTAACATGAGACTTGCAAAACAACGACTTGGTCCCACCTCTAGAAAAGTTACATAAAACACCTTTAAATGAAATGAATGTTGAATTTTTAAGCCATGTTACTGGTCAGATCTGTGAAGAGGTGAGCCACACTTCACAAAAAGATGCATCATGTTTTTTAAGACATTTTCATAGCAAGAAAAACTCCTGTAATCGAGTATTTGCAAGATGAATGTTTAATGCCATATTCAATAATATCAAACCCCCGCTAAAAAAGTTACGTAATGCACCTTTAAAAATGAATGCTGAATTTTTATCAACCCGAAACCCGAAACCCGACCCCGTGATCCCGCTGCAGGTGTCCCACAGTCCCGTGTCCCACAGTCCCGTGTCCCACAGTCCCGTGTCCCACAGCCGCCCGAGCGTCACTCACCCCCGGCCGCGGCCCAGTGCAGCGGGGTCTTGTAGCTCCAGTCGATGTCCCTCTGGTTCGGGTCACATTTGTTGTGTCTTAAAATGTCCTCCGCGGCGCTCAGGTCCCCCGCGGCCGCCGCCTGGTGCAGCTCGGACATGACGAGTCCAGAGCGGCCCGCGCGTCTCCAGGCACCCGCCAAACACACCGAGGAAGAGGAGGAGGAGGAGGAGGAGGAGGAGGAGGAGGAGGAGGAGGAGGAGGAGGAGGGAGGGCCACCAGCGCCACCTGCAGGCCAGCACGGGAGCTTACAAGAGAAGAGTGGAGCAGTGGCCCCATTTCCAAGAGATTTTATTATAAACCAGGATTATTTTTACAGAAGAAAAGTCCTGAGGGCAAATTTGAGGAAACGTTGGTAAACTTTTTTTTTTTTTGAGGGTGCTGACAGAGGTGGAGACTTGCAAGTCGTGACTTAGACTTGCATCAGACTTGAGTCACTATTTTTAGGATTTGAGACTTGACTTGATAAAATAGACTATAAGACTTGGGACTTGAATTGGATTTGAGGCCTGTGACTTAAGAAGACTTGATTCTTAGACTATAGTAAAATAATAAATGTCATTTAAAAAGAAAAAAATAGCATTTCTACAATTATAGAAATATTCATATACAAATATACCATGATTTTTTAAGTACAATTTAGTTTAAAATTCATATAAATTGCAAAAATCAAAGCTATATTTGGTACTTTGGTTTAAACACTTGAAATGACTTGAAGCTCAAGCAGACGACTTGGACTTGACTTGGACTTATGGACCAGTGACTCGAGACTCGACTTGGACTTTCCTGTCTTTGACTTGGGACTTGACTCGGACTTGAGGTCAAAGACTTGAGACTAACATGAGATTTGCAAAACAACGACTTGGTCCCACCTCTGGGTGCTGATTTTGAATATTTTGTTTACTAAGTTGGATTTTTTGGATTTTGAATTCTAAGCATTTTAATTTGAATATTAAGATGGGACTTGTTTTGTCCATTTTTAAAAATGTATTTCTAAAGTAATCAATAAACAAAATAGCACTGGTCTCTTTATTAATATTTGAGTGTTAAAATGTGCAGGATAATATCATAATCTAATGTTTTCTTAACACTGCATGGAATCAAAGTCAGAAAACAAAGAAGACAAGTTAGAGCAGGAGCCATAATGTGGTGAAAGAGAAAAAATAAATCAAATTGAATCGGTCTTAAACTGGAAATCAAACTAAGAATGATTATGAATCCAATCCAGTTTCTTTCTGTAGCACATTTTATAAACATGCATATAAACAAACATATATTCCAAAGTGCTGCACAGACAAATGAAGACAGTAAATCCTAATTAAAAACAATAAATAAAAAGTGTTCAAATGCATAAAGCTAAAAATGATAAAACAATGAATAAAATAAAACAAAAAATAAAAAAGGAAAATAAAGAAAAGACGCAGAGGAGCACACAACTCACGCAGTGTCAAAAGCCAAAAAATAAAAGTGGGTCTTAAGACGAGACTTAAAACTC